GTTTGCTTAGTTTTTATCTCAATAGTTGATCACAATCTTTTTAATTGCAAAATTTTTTTTTTAATCTAAAGTCACGGGACACGACTGTAAGTTACCAAGTTTAATTTTCATGTAAATAAAATTAACCCTTATTGTAACAAGATTTCTTTTTTGGAGAAAAGAAAAGTTAAAAAAAAAACTAAGTTAAAAATTATTTTCTAGTGATCGTATATATTTATAAAGTTGTATGTATATATACTATACAAAATAAACATAATGTTTAATGATAAAATAAAATACAATTTGACTTTCCAATGTGTAGGGTCCTTTAGAAAATTCTTGAATCGCACGAAGCAAAATCAAAACCGATTCATTCGTTGAATTACTGAATGCTTTATTTAACTTCATATGAGTCATTCAGGTCAATGAACTCTGTAGAACGATCGAGAACAAAGAACGAATCTATGAATTAAATAAAGATTTATGTATAATATTCATTATATTATCAAACGATATAAATCTAAAGCTAGTAGAGCCTAAGAGAATCTCTTAATCTATAGTACTAAAACTACACTTAGGGAAACAATTAAAGATTTATGGGAATTAGCGTGGTATTAAAAACTTAGTAAGTAGCCTATGTGTTCTTTTTCAGCTAGATATATGCAGCCGTTTTGTAGATATCTTCTAGCAAACGTCCATCCAAACTTTCGTATTTATAATATTAGTAAGATTTACGAGTTTTATTTGACATGTCATATTACAAAATTGGTTACAGGATGTTGCGATTAATGCGTTGGAAAAAGCTGTACAAATTATTATAATTATGTTAAACTAACTGTCGCCCGCGACTCCGTCCGCGTGGATATATAAAAACTTAATTACTGTAGCCCACCCATCCATCCATCCACATCACATCCATCTAAACATTCGCATTTATATTATTAGTAAGTTAAATAAGAAACAACTCTTCAAGGCATAAATTCGAAAACAAAATGAATAAATAGTATCCTATGTCCGTCTCCTGGCTCTAAGCTACCTCCTTATGCAGTTCTTGAGTTATAAATAGTGTAACTAACACGACTTTCTTTTATATATATATATATAATATACATTAGTAATCAACCTTTTGTACTAGGTACATTTTAAAATCGATATTCGATTTCAAATCGGTATACGAAATCGATTAACATTCGTCGTATCGATTTAAAATTCAATTCTTCGATTTGGAAATCAAACGACCCGGCTTCGATTCTCTTTTTTTTCTTGAAACACTGAAAACTACGTCGCAGTTACTGAAAATAAATTTGAATATTAACCCGAGTTACTTCTAAGGGATATGTGCAACTTGAAACTGTTTTTTTTTATAAAAGTAAATACGCTTTTGTGGTATGTACAGTTGAATCGATATATACTAATATTATATAATAAATAGGAAAGATTTTTATGTAAGGAATAAACACAAAAAAATCTGATACTATTACAGAAATTCTTTTGCCTCTAAAAAACTATTATCTTACTTATATTATAAATGCGAATGTTTGGATGAATGTTTACGAGGTATCTCCAGAACGGTAGCATAGAACTCGCTGAAATGCCACCGATGTAAAACATAGTCTTGAAGAACACATAGGCTACTAATTAAGATTTTTTAACGCACTCTGACGGAGTCGCGAGCGACACCTAATTACTCAATAAGACGTAGGGAAAGAATATTTATTACTTGATTTTTAAAATATGCACGGACCAAGTCGTTGGCAAAAGCTAGTATAGAAAATAATAAAATAGTCTGTGTTCCTGTTGTTAAGTGTTTAACCGGACAGGATAAAACCTATACGTCCAGGTTCAATCCCCGTACGTTTATATGACGTTTTTACGGTGAAGGGAAACATGGTGAAGTTTTTCCGTAAAAAATTTACTGTAATTAACTTCGTCTGAATCAAACCTAATATAAAACGTGTCAATTAAAAATCTTTCAACTGTCAGATGTGTGCCATCCATGGTCATGATGGTATTTTGGTGTCATTTGAATTGTAAATCTTGTCCCCCATAGTCTGAAAATACCTTGAAATGTTTTATGTGTTTGTTTATAAGGGTTTTGATTATGGTAATTGGCAAGTACTTATAGTTCGGAGGTTATGCGGCATTTAAGTTGGCACGTCAACAACATGAGTATTCTTATGTTTAACGTGCCAACTACCAGTAATACAATTTTATAGAAATAATGGTTCAATTTCTTTACTTTTTACATTAAAATATAGATATTTTTTACTAAATACTTACTTAGTAAGATTTTCTTTATTGTCCTAACTGTTTTTTTATTACATTGTCATTTTTCTTTTCATATGAATGTTTTACAAATAAATTTATTTATATGTATCGAACTAAACGTATTGTTGTGTGATTAGCTTCCTAAAAAGGTAATAAAGCTTTTCGTTTATCGACGTTTCCTAAGTTCACTAACGCCATCTATTGAGAATTGTTTTAATATACGTTACATTCCGTAAATATTGAAAACCATAATAGAACTATTATATAAAAATTAAAGGAAAAGATAATTTTTTATAATAAAAGAAAATAGACATTAATTAATTTTTTGCACCACTAAATCTTTTCCGTTGCAATTTGCAATACACAATTGTTGGATGAATTCTGGATGTAATTTAAATTTAAAATGTTTACATATTTATCATAATTTTTGTCTTTAGCCATAGTCAATAAACAAATATTTAAATTATTATTAAAAGAATTTCATTTAACAGTGGCAGAGCCCGCTTTAACATTTTCGTACGAATTGGCCCGGTTCGCCCGGTGAAATACCACGACCACACAGAAGACAGGCGTCAAGTGGAAGCAATTCCGCGTACAGTCTGATGAGTGTGCGTCCCGGAGGCCAAAATTAGTCCTCTTTCCCTTCCCACCTTTTTTCTTATAAGGAAAGGCTGGGAAGTGGATGTGGACTTTCCGGATGAGAGGATACATGGAAAGGGGAAAATATTTTCTTTCTGTGCATCCTCTCCTGTGTCGATTAAAGGAAGGCAACGCATATGCAATTGCGTATGTCTATGGGCAACGGTCACTTCGCTATATCAGCGATTTCAGGTGGCCGCTCGCTCGTTTGCCACTTTATGACATAAAAAAAATTAAAGTACAAGAGTATTTGGCGCGCTAACTTTTCTTGCGTAGTGACAGTTTTCCCGCGCGGGCACGTTAGGGAATGCGTGCAAGAATCAATTAAAATTCAAAATTTAAGTCATCCCATCCAAGCAACGGCTATATAAAGCAAGCTAAAACAACGCACGGCCATTTAGTTCAGGACTCTTACCGTGTATACATGTGTCTAGAAAGTTAGCCATTTTGACAGCAAACTTTTTTTATTATCTTTTTAAAAACACGTGCATCCGTTCGGAAACCATTTTGAAAAATTGTGTTTTGTTTTATTTCTTTTCATTCAGAATTTGATAATCTGTGATATTAAAGTTTTTATACAATTGGTGAGTAAACTTTCATGTTATTTGGTTTAAAAAGTTATAAGTACTTTGTAAACTCTATTTAAACTTTTATTTATATAGTTTCTTTTTGACTATTCGTTAAGATATTTTTAAAACGTAATTTTCCTTATAAAACAGTATACACTACTCATTTACTTTTAGCTGAAATTATATTTACGTTATAGTAATTTTTATTTTAAACAATCTCAGCGGTAAACCTACGGTTACATTATGAATTTTAATTTTGTTGTTTTAAATCATATTTTTTAATATTATCTATACATATTACAATATTAAATGTTTTTTAAAGTAACTAAGAATTTTATTTGAAATAGTCAATAAGATACGATACATTTACAATCTAATTTTTCATCTTAATATATAAAAAAATCTGTAATTAGTTGGTTCCCTTTTCTATGCTTCTCCATCTACGTATTCTATCAAAAACTATCCTTTATCGATACATACACGGATAGATTCTTAAATAAACAAGTAATAAGATTGAATGTGAATAACCAAAGAGGGTTGTATGAAAGAGGATATATAAGACGTGAAGTCAACTTAGTCTTCAAGCTTAGGTACCTTAATTTAAGAAGTTTTACTGATATTGGATGCTACCAGTTCCCATGGATACTAACCGAAGCCGATTTCGAAGGGTTTTTATTCTATGCGAAAGAATCCCATTGGTCTAATTGCTTAAAATACCATATAAAGTGTTGTACGGAGTTATACGGTTAGAAGTAATCATACATACGTCCGCTAGGAAGTAATATTTTTAGACGCTACATTGGCTAACAATGGGATGCACTCTGTTTCCTACCGCCTGCAGTGTTGCCAACTTATTAAATACTAACTGTTGTCCGCGACTCTGTCAGCGCGGAATTAAAAAAATTAGTAACCTATGTGTTCTTCCAGACTATGTTCTACATCTATGCTTTCAGCAGTTCTGGAGATACGTTCAAACAAACATCTAAACATTCGCATTTATAATATTAGTAAGTCTATTCTACTTAGATGTTACGAAATCAAGATTGATTATAAAGTTAATAATAAAGTTTTTTGTTATCTTTATATATAAAAGAAAGTCGTGTTAGTTACACTATTTATAACTCAAGAACGGCTTTACCGATATAACTGAAAATTGGTGAGGAGATAGCTTAGAGCCAGGAGACTGACATAGGATACTATTTTTAATTTTTTTTTCGAATTTATGCCTTGAAGAGCTGCTTTTTATTAAACTTATTAATATTATAAATGCGAATGTTTAGATGGATGTGATGTGGACGGAGTCGCGGGCGACAGCTAGTTAAATATAAAGACAAGGTAACCAACGGCGATAGAGAATGCTGCCACCCCTTAATTTTGGTTTTTATTTGTTGACGCTTTGCGGATGACAAGAGAAACAAGTCTTTGGTTCAATGATTTGTCAAACATTTTCGTGTGACACGATCGTAATAATATATTTCCTTAAATATATATAAGAGTATAGTTTTATAACAATATAATTAATATATGATTTTCTTTTTGTTTCAGACAAATAAAACCTTGAATCTCTCTAGTACAAAGTATTGAAACAATGTTCTACATAGTTCTGCTATTCGCCGCCGCGGCGCTACTGAGCGGTGGTCGCTCCTCGAACGTCAACCGACACATGAAACTGTTGGAATTGGATAATAATATTCTAAACGGTGAGTTTAAAATAATAAAAAAAATCGTATTTAACAAGCGTCGACAATTTCGATTTGATTAATCGTATTTCTTCTTCAATAATTACTAAGAAAATATTATTAAAATATATGTTTTCTTTACTTTTTAAAGTACAATCAAGGCAGGTGACAAAGAAATTCATAACGCTAGTAACGAAGCCGAAACCCGTGATCGTTCACTCATCTGGAGCCCCGCTGGAGTTGACATGCGAGGCTTTAAGCTCTCCAGCGCCATCTATACACTGGTTCAAAAACGACGCGCCCGTTTACGAGGTAAGTTATCTAAAAACGCCAGGGTTTAAAAAAAACTAAATTGAGTTAACTGTTTACACGTTTACAATAATATAACATGTTACAATACTTATGACAATTCAGAGTTCAATATTCGACAAATAATCATGGTATAATTTAGTTTAAAAGCCCATTGAGTTGCCGAATAAGTACTTAATTTCTTTAAAAACCGATGAGTTTTAAATGAGTGTAAATTTTACAATGTGTCCAACATTAATTTTTTCATTTTTTTTCTCAGTATGACTTGGAGTCTAACGAGATAATAGACACGAACCCCACGTCCCTTGCCCGCGTGTCGTCAACTCTCCTAGTACGTGCTGGAAGCGCGGGTGACGCTGCGAGCGCGGACTACTCCTGCCTGGTGGTCGCGGGACACAACACACTTCGTGCATCTACTAAAGTCTATAACTATAGTAAGTATTTTATATGTTCCGCTTTGATATTATGAACTACAGAGTATATTATGATTTTTTTTAATTTATGCCGTGAAGACTCCACAACAAATTCTTTTAAATAATTAACAGATGGCAGCACCGAATCTTTTTTGTAATTACAATATCGAATCGCAATGTATCAGTCTGTTATTTAACCTTATGTACGTTATAAAAAATAAATTTGAAAGTAATAGAATAGATTTATTTTATTTTCTGTACATTTTGTGTTAACTTTTATCGTTAATTTCGTTTAAAAATATTAAGTGAATCTTTTCACCAACAGATGGCAGCACCGACTTATCAGAACGCAACAAGCTGGTTCCTCTCGCGCCGAGAATCCTGGTGTCGTACAAAGTGCTGGTGGACTGTATCGGTTGCAATGTTGTGCTGCCATGCCGCGCACGTGGTCACCCGCGCCCCAAACTCACCTGGCGTAACAGCTCCGGCCGGCCGGTCGGCAACGACCCCAGAATGAAGGTAACTCCATGCATATAGCCTTATTACCAAGAATTATACAAAACTCTATATTATCAACCCTTTTTGTAATTTGAGAAACACGATTTTATGTAATAAATAGTAAATAAATAATTTAAATGTGACGTTGACTAGCGCCTGATGAAAAATTTTAGCAAATATTACTCATCAAATTTAACACATTAAAATTTACATTAATAAGTCGAAATAAATCATTACGCTTAATTGGAATTTTTAAATATGATTTATCAGGTGCTCCGTTCGGGAGAGCTGGTAATATCTTCTCTCCTCTGGACGGACCTCGGCGAGTTCACTTGCCGCGCGACGAACATGTTCGGGAGCACGCACGCCAGTACTTTCGTCTACCCCGCACGAGTGAGTTTCTCTTTCCCACTTACTAACAACCGTATCTTCTTTCTCCCTCTTGTATCAAATTGCCGCCAAGAAGTGTACATGTCACATTTTAACGTGACTTTTTGCGACTCAAATTCGTCAAATTTAATTATTTAGTCAACTTATGGCATTGTCCTTATTGATATCCCTCTCTATATATCAGCATCGTTAATTGATCACTTAGGAACACACTCAGTGTAGATTTCTCCGACTAAATATCTATATTCCGTGATGCGTATAAAAGGTGAATTCAGATATGACGTATGACAGATATATAGTGAAAAAGGCGGGAAGATAATTGACGTAATATAGTTTTTTTTTCTTTTTTTTTCCAGCCTGAATGAGAATCATCTGAAAACAGAAAATCAAAGTATACTTAACAAGAATGTTCCTGTAAATTAGTTTGTATTTGTTAGGGGCCGTGCACACTCGACGGTCGAAACGCTCAACTTTTTAAATCGCACCCTGAAATAAACTAGAAATTTTTATTGTATTAAAAGGTTAAGAAATTAAAAATATAACATTGTAATTCGTCTACTGTAACCATATTGTTTTCATTTTCTTTAATTCAATATAAAAGGGATGACAATATGTGATATGTCTCATAGCAGACTCTTAACTCTTAATTCGACGAAATTTTTTGTAGCAAAAAAACTGTGTTTCTTTTTAGTAAAGTCATACTTACGTAAATTTCTGAAAACTAGTTTAGTAAATTTTTTAAATTAGTTGTTCGTCACACTGGACACCATCGAATTAAGGGTAAAATCATGGTAATAAATGTAAGAAATTTAATTAAAAAAAATCATTTCCGATTCAAATATATTGTGTCTTGATGGTTCCACAAAAGTATTATTGCAAAGTGATTTGTGAAGTGTCATTTATTTAAATCGAATTGGTTTGTTAGCGACAATATTAATAAGTACTTAAATTTTAAAATTATTGTAACATAGATATATTTTAAAGATATGAATATATATTATTGAATCTGCGGCTGGTCCGTTATCCGTTATATCAATGTAAAATATACTTTCATTTTGCGACAAAACGCTGCGTTTTTTAAATTAAGTGTGCATGCCCCTTTACTGAATCGAGTCTGCCTATATTCTTTAATATTTTTGTTTTTTTTTATATAGTTTTTAAAAACTTCTAAATAACATATAATGTGTTTTTATTTGAATTATTTTTATTTTTAAAAACAATAGAATATTGTGACCTCCCCCCCCCCTACGTAGATACTGTGATGGAAGTAGATATGAGATAAATAAAATAATAAAATCATAAATTAAGTTTTATTTAATTACAACACGTGTAAAATAACATGAGAACCTTGTCCGATGACGTACTTACGCGATTTGATACATTGAATCATATAAACAGTGGAGTTTGTATGAAATAATACAATTATTGTGTTGCTATCCAGAATTTAATACAAAACATAATTTTTATTTTTTATATGATACGATTTCAACCGAGCAAGCGTCTCTTAAATACATCGTAATAGCGAAGTGACCGTTGCCCATAGATATACGCAATTGCATATGCGTTACCTAACTTTAATCGACGGAGGAGAGGATGCACACAAAGAATTTATTTTCCCTTCCCATGCATCCTCTCACCAGAAAATCCACTTCCAAGTCCCATCCTTTATTTATAAGAGAAAGGGTGGGAAGGGAAAGAGGACTAAATTAGACCTCCGGGACGCACACTCATCAGACTGTACGCGGAATTGCTTCCACTTGAGGCCTGTCTTCTGTATGGTCGTGGTATATCACCGGGCGAGCCGGGACAATTCGTGCGAAGATGTTAAAGCGGGCTCTACCACTGTTAACTGTATGATAAATACAATTATTGTGTTGCTATAAACAACCACATTTTAATACAAAATACATTGAAAACTAAACATCATTTTTATAAGATGGTAAACGAGCAAGCGCTCACAAAAAACGTCGTATTAGCGAAAAAACCCACAGAAAAGGGATATATTTCTATGCGTCCGCTTCTCTGTCATATCCACTTCCCCGTACCCTTTCCTTATAAGCAAATGATGGTAACAGAATTAGGAGTAGGCCTCCGCCTCACTAATCAGGCTATACGTGGAATTACCCACTTGAGGCATGTCTTATGGTCGTGGTACACCGGGTGAGGCAAATTTGTGCTGCATATGTCGACTACCACTGTATATGTTTGGTTATATTTTTAATATATATATAAATAAAAGTCGGTATTCATCAATATTTTTTATTCAACACTGACTCTATCAATCCGACACAAAAAATATTAAACTTGAAGTATATTATGTTAAGGTTCATTTCCACTAAACTTCTTGCGATGACCGATTTTCGGGCTATTTTTTTTAAATGGACTCGTAAATATATAACTGGTTTATATAAATATTACTCACTGTATGTCTAAAGTTATAATCGATTTAGTCGAATCGATTTTACAAAAAAATCGATTAAACGCAAGCAATAGTTAAAAGGTAAAACATAAGCTAACATAAAAACAAAAACACAATCTCCGTACATCAAACCTCCATATTTTAAACTAAGGTAATTTCTTAATTTAAACATTATTTAACTGACTAGAACTCAGTCATAAATTAAAGCAGTGAAAAGTAAAAAAAAAAGTACAATTCTGAGTAAGTACAACTCGAGCACTACAACATGATACGATGACGTCATTCATCAAAAAACCCAAGCTAAATATTGTGACATTTCGAATACAAAGATACGTAACAAATTGAATTCAATAGAAATAAGATATTATACAGACCAACAAACTGAACGTGGGAATAACATTGGGTTTCTGAGACAAATAAAATCATCATTTAAAAAATATTGTTATCTCTGTGTTGTAGACAGGGATGGTGATAAATATAAAATACAGAGATTTTGCTCTCAGAAAGCAACAATAAGTCAAATAAATTACGACACATCATTATCGCCACTTTGTCTTGTACTGTGACTGTCATGTCATTTTTGTGTTTCATGTCATTCTGCTGACAAAAATCACGATAGTAGTCCTCAACGATTCACTATCCTTGTCTGAATTTAAACCAAAAATCTATTATTAAGATTAATAAGATAATATTAAGAAATCAATTATTTAGAAATGGTAACACAATTTATATACTATTTTTTATTTTATTACGACATATCTAAAATCCAAATGTATGGATTATTGCTTACAAATATATATAATAAAAAAACATCACTGAAAAATAAAAAAAAAATTACTGAAAAATTAAAAAAAAATCTTACTTCTTACTAATATAAATGCGAATGTATGGATGGATATTTGTTACTACGTATCTCTAAAACGTCCAAACAGCACTGGATTATATTTTGCAAAGGCTATATAAGATTTTTACGCAAAAGCTATACAAAGGAATTTTTTTGTGACGAAAAAAAATTATAACACAACAATACAGAAACCAAATTAAGTTAAATAAAAATAAATTTAAACTATTGTATAATAAAATTATTAAAAAAAAAACACCTAACATAATATCTTGAGTATTAGTATACGAGTTTTTAATTTAAAGAAAAAAAAATCTACTAAATTTTAGTGACGTTTTTTTTTTTTACTTATTAAACAAAGCACTATTCCTTCTTATTAAATTTACTTAAATCTATTCTGACTACAATATTCTTTATTTACTTTGTATGTAATCTATTTACTTATATAAATAATTAATATACATTTAAACTAACACATAAGCTAAAAAAAAACTAAATAATGTAAATAATCGACCCCAAATCGCATAATAAATGATCACCAAATTATGTCACGCTTGAAACGTTGAAAGTGACTTTAGGATTGTCAGTCACGTTGGACTCGTTGAAGCTGACATTGACACCGTCGAATATGACCTTGGTATTGTTAAACGTGACCTTGTGGCTGACCTTGACTGTATTGAAGTTGACCTTGAGTGCATTCCAAGGTCAGTCGTTGCAGTAACAATACATATTTAGATGAGGATGTGTCGCACTTATACAACTCGGCTCGTTGTTATAACTAGAAAGAAGAAAAATATCGAAGTGACCGTTGCCCATAGACATACGCAATTGCATTTGCGTTGCCTAACTTTAATCGACGGAGGAGATGAACAGAAAGAAAATATTTTCCCTTTCCTTGCATCCTCTCATCCGGAAAGTCCACTTCCACTTCCCATCCTTTACTTATAAAAGGGGTGGGAAGGGAAAGAAGATTGAAATTAATCTTCTGTCACACTCATCAGACTGTACGCGGAATTACATACTTGAGGCATATCTTGTGGTCGTGGTACACCGGGTGAGGCAAATTTTTGTTAACATGTTAATACTTAGAAACTACTACTGCAGTACTCAGAAAGAGATTCTTAGTGTAGATTTATCAATCGATTACATAATTAGCTAAATATAATAACATTCAAACTTTATATTGTCTAAAAAAATCTAGATGATTTAAGTAATTTAGGTAATACTTACGCATTAGTTCTAGATATATCACGTGAGTTGATCTCGAACTTATCCTCCGCGGCTATGTACAGCATCGAAGCTTCGTACACACCCTTACTGGGACCCACAATTATCTAAAAATTGTATTAACTAATGAATAAAATAGAACGGACACAAATAAAAAATATTTTTAATTTAAAAACTATAAAATCCTACAAACTCTATGGCATTCGAAAACAGAATATGTATGACACTTTTCTCGTTAAAATGGATACAAAGGTCATAATGACATTATAATATACGTATATAAAAATACCCTGCAGAGGCAATTCAATAAAAATATTTCCCGTTTAAGGTAATTAGGTAAAAACATTTCCCTTTTGTGGCAGATGAAGTAAAAACTTTGCCATTTTGAGGCAGTTAAATCTTACTAATATTATAAATGCGTATTGTTTAGATGTATGGATGGATGGATGTTTGAAGATAGAAGCTGAAATTTGGCATAGATGTAAAACATAGTCTTTAGGAAGACATAAGCTATATATTAACTTTTTTTTAATTCCGCGCAGATGGAGTCGTGGGCATCAGCTAGTATACAATATTTCTTAAAAGACCCTAATAAAGTACTCTTATAATCCTTTTAAGTTTAAGTTTAACTTACTTTAACTTGATAGTTCTCTCTGGGAACGCGCACTTTCGCACCAAACTTTCCGACATATCCGTCACCATCCTTTGCCGCTACGAACGACAACATGCGACTGTTCCCGCGCTGACGCATCACCCAAGATATGGAAGTCAGTGTTCTGAGCACGCACTTCTCCCTACATTAAAGGCAAAGTTGAGGCAAGGCAAAAGGCAAGCTTGAGGCATGTTACCCAAGTAAGGCAAATATTTGCCTTATAGCATATGACAAAGATTTGCCTCATTTGGATCAATTTGTCACTAGCTTGCTAATGTAACTTGAAATATCGTAAAAATTGTTTAATTTAAAGGAAATAACACGAATAAAAAAAGTGTATATAAAAATGGCAGGCAATACATTAAAATAATTTTCTAATAGAGGCACCGGAGCGAAAATCATTGTAATTTTTTTTTTGTAATTAAATAAACAAAAATATATATATAGGTCTGTCTTCTTGGCTGCAAGTTACCTGTATTGTTTCAACCAAAGAAATTATACAAGACATATTAACTAAATTAAACTAGTTTCTGAGACCGAAACCCCTGTATAAAACATTGTCATTTCTGTTTTGTCTCATACAGAGTTATGTCTCAGAAACCCGGGATTAACCATTTAACTTGAGTGCAGACTTACCTAACTTCCTCTGTGAGAGAGTTAATATAATTAACTAACGCTTCAGCCGTTCTCTGATAGAGAGGATCATCCTCGGTGACATTCCTCCAGGCGAGGCAGGCGCACCAGTGAGGCTCGATGCCTGCCTCACTACAAGACCTGTTCTTTGGTATCTGGAAACATTAACACAACTAAGAAAGTGTTTGTACGTTTGTAAATTACCGCTGGTAAGTTACATTGTCAATTAGCTATCGTCCGCGACTTTGTTCTTGCAAGGCTTAAAAAAAACTTGTTAATTAGCCTATGTGTTCTTCCAGACTACGTTCTACATCTATGTCAAATTTCAGCGAGATCCATGCAGCTGTTCTGCAGATATCTTTAAACATCCATCCATACATCCAAACATTCGCATTTATAATATTAGTAATATTAGTAATATTACTAAGGTCCAACCACAACCAACAACAACCACAACAACCAACCAACCACGCTGACCAAGTGCAGGTTGACTTCACACATATCTTTGAATTTATTCTCAGATATGTGCAGGTTGCATCACGATGTTTTCCTTCACACTAACAATATAAGATAAATGTACATATGTAACACATTGGTACATGGCGGGATTCGAACCCAGGACCTGCAGATTGCAAGTCAAATGCTTAACCCCTGAGCAACCTCTTTAAGTTTGTAACACTTACCGGTTCCAACAAAGTGAGTCCCCTAGTTAGATCAGCTCCTGTGACTCTGTACGTGTTCCAGTGCTGCCTCATGTGGAGTACATCGAGTACTGTCGCGTATATATCATGAGGTGTGGTCAACACCTGCGCGTTGGTGCGCAGTACATCCTCCACGAATGGTCTCTCACGTTTCAATACTTCAGGTAACACAATACCCATTAAAGGCAAACGTTCTTCTAATTTGCCTTGCAATGTATCTCTTATGTACGCGTATCTGGAAAGGCAGATTTTTTAACATAAAAGTATTTACTCTTTCTATATGTCTTCTCTGTAAAATCCAGTTCCCCTTTCCTTCCTTTCCTAATAAAAAAAAGGTTGGGAAAGAAAAGAAGACTAAAAGAAATTTGAATATTTATGCAAGGTTACTTAAAGTTCCTTTGATTATTAAAAACGGATCAAGCCATTAAGAGTTACCATTTTTACATATATTTCAGCACCGCAACAATGAGGTTTGCGCGTCAATGAGGTGTGGGATTCGTAAAACCTTTAATTTTTACACAAATGTATATTATGTAAAAACATTTGTGTAATATGAAAGGTATTTATAAGCGCATAATAATTCATTGAACTTATTTGACCGAAGAAGTGTGCACGCGTTGAGTCCTGTCTCTCAATAATCAAAGACTGGAATTCATCGGAAATAGAATGTCGGAAAAAATGAGATGTACATGTTATGACACCGTATTATTAATTTAAAATTGCGAATGTTTGTATGAATGAATGGACGGATGATAAGTTACCTAGGTCCATGGTCTCCCATGACCATGAGCAGCGTGTGCTCCAGGTGACCAGCCTGTCTGAACCCTCGCAGGAAGTCGACCAGGTCCTCATCAGCTGTGGATATCATATTGAAGTTATCATGTGTGATGTCCGCTATGAAAGTGAAACAGAATTTCTTTCCATCCAACTTTAGAAACTGAAAATGGTTAATAAAATTTTGTAAGTTTTACATATCGTAAACTTGGTCACTTTATAAATATATTATATACTAGCCATTGCTTGCGACTCCGTCCGAGCGGAATTAAAGAAATCTCAATAAGTAGCCTATGCATTCTTCCAGACTATGTTCTACATGTATGACAAATTTCATCGAGATCTGTTCAGTCGTTCTGATGATACCTTCAAGCAAACATCCATCCATCCATCCATCTGAACATATATAATATTAGTAAGATAAAAGATTTATCATGAAGAAATGTTTTCATAACATTTCTAATCTTACTAATATTATAAATGCGAATGTTTGTATATATATTTGTTCCAAGGTATCTCCAGAACCGCTGAACAGATCTCGATGAAATTTAGCATGCATATAGAACATAGCCTGGAAGAATACATAGACTAGTAATTAGGTCCTTTTTAGGGTTCCGTACACCTCTAAAGGAAAAAACGGAACCTTATAGAATGACTTTGTTGTCCATCTATCAAGACCCTTTTTCTCAAAAAAGCGTGAATATATCAAGCTAGAATTTATTTAATTTAATTTCTACGCGGATGAAGTCGCGAGCGACAGCTAGTTAAATAAAATTAAATAGTTAAGATTAAAGAAGTTAAAATATGTAAAGTTACGCACGAAATGAAATCAGTAACATATAAAGGTCGATACTCACTTGGTCAGTTATATTAAGCATAAGTTTGTACTGCGGCGTGTCTCCTACACAATATCTATTACTTGATCCTACATTCCACCATTTTTTACCACCATTGGATTCTTCTAGATAAAAATCTCTCAAATAATGATCCGCTGGACGATGTTTGAAACCTTTGAAACGGTACTGGAATGTACCAATCCATGGCATATCTTCAAAATATGCAGTACGATATCTAAAATCATCATCAGGTCACTATACGTCCCCACTGAGGGGCTCGGAGCCTACCCTAAGCTTCCTAGGCCATAGTTTTAGAAAATATCAGTTAGAATCATTTGGCGCGAATGGCGTGCTTACGTTACAAAGTCAAGTGTCAGAATGATTAGTGAGGGGACATAAACGTTGACATTTTAATAAGGCTAGTGTTGTGCCAGTACACCGGCACAGTGTCGGATTTTCTTCCTAACAATAACCAACCACACTGACCAAGTGCGGGACTTCACACATATCTTTGACTTTCTCAGATATGTGCAGCATCACGATGTTTTCTTTCAACGTAAGAACGTCGGATGTATATCGTCATATGTAAATCGGAAATGGAAAAACACATTGGTACATGTCGGGATTCGAACCCAGGACCTGCAGATTGCAAGTCAAGTGCTTAAGCTATGTGCATTTCTTCATATTAGCTTTAAGGGTCTGTTCACATAGAGGCGGATAGCAAAGTAACACATTTTTATCAAACATAACATTGAACCTTATACCATTCAAATAGGGTTTAGTTTGAATTTGCTCTTTATATAATTACGTGTTAAGTAAAATTGAACCTAATGTCAATAGCTTAAGGCTCAATTTGATTTGCGGTTAAAAAAATTTGCTCTAATATCCGCCTTGATCTGTAGACGGACCTTAACTGTGTATTTTTTATCACAATTAAAAATATACGTGACAAATGAAATTAATACAAAATATTGAACCTTAAAATGATTTACTATTTATACGTTTGTCTGTTCGTTTGTGTTTCCTAATCTCAGAAAATACTTAATATATATTCATGGGGTTTTCATTAATATAATATTATAAGCAATATTTAAAATTTAAAACATAAAATCAAAGTAAACTCACCCATCTTCATGTAATTTATAAAAAATGAACGGCATAGAATCCAAACTACCGTTGTTGTTCATTTTCTTTCTAACATCGGGCAATTCTAGTTCCGTTTTACCAGTTAATATTGGAAACAAAGCTGCAGGGGTACCATCACCAACTATATTATAACTGAAAAACAATTTACCGTTGGTTTCTGAGACCAAAAACTCTATTCAAAACATATAACACATAGAGTCTCTGTTTTTTCAAAGACTAGCTGTAACCCGGACTCCGTTTGCGCGGAATAAAAATGTCTATGTGTTCTTTTAGGCTATGTTTTACATCTATACTAAATTTCATGCAGCCGTTTTGGAGATAACTTTAAACAAATATCCATCCATACAAACATTTGCATTTATAATATTAGTTTGAAGTAAGATTACAGGGATGACAATATATTTTATAAAGTTTTTGTCTCAGAAACCCACGGTTAGAGTCACGGATACAAATCCACAATAGGATGTTATTACTATTTAAGATTTAATTATAATATTAACGGACTATTTAAATTTAAAAAAAAATGGCGCTGGTATGGTGTGCTGTCAGAAATTTACGAATATTATATATCACTCACTATGGGTTTCCGAGACCAAAATACACTTTAAAAACACATTGCTATCCCTGTTTTGTAAACAAAGAAAGGGATGACGATATGTTTTATACAGAAATTTTCGTCTAAGGAACCAACGTTTGGTCTATAAGCTTAAGCAAAAAACTTTTAGACGGGAATTTGACTGAATTTACTTGATTTACAGTCATCAGTAACCCACCGGGTCATGTATAATTATGTATGTATGTATGTACAGAAATAAAATAACATACCCTTGTAATATAGTTGCTTTAAATTCATCTTTTAAAAACTGATAACTCTTCGGCATTCGTCGAACAAAACCATTATGAGAAGTTGAATCAAATCCTAATATTAAGACGTTCAGAGTATTTTCTCTACCCTGTGGTGGAGTTTTGGGGTGGACAGAGGATCGAAATCCTAAACTATGACCTTTCCATTTTGATGGTAATATGCTGAAATTAAATAAAAAAAGATTATATCTTAACTAGCTGTCCGTACGCACGGATTTAAAAAACCTTATTAGTCTATGTGTTCTTCCAGACTATGTTACATCTATGTCACAAAGCGAGTTCTGTACAGCCATTCTGGAGTTACCTTCTAACAAACATCCATCTATCCAAAATTCATCATCAGCTCACTATAATTCCACACTGAAGGGTTCAGAGCCTACCTTAAGTTAGTGACTAGCCCAGTGCGAGTTGACTTTACATATATCTTTGAATTTCTTCTCAGATATATGCATCACGATGTTTTTCCTTTACACTAAGAACGTCGGATAAATGTACATATGTAAATCGGAAATCGAAAAAAAACATTGGTACATGGCGGGATTCGAACCCAGGAGCTGCAGATTGCAAGTCAAGTGCTTGACCCCTGAGCCACCGATACTCTTTCAAACATTTATAATATTAGTAAGATATACCTATCTATATGATTTCCTATACATTTAACTTTAACGTGGTCACTTCTCGTTAGTACATAAGAGTTATTTCCTTTTACTGTTATATCTTCACCAATAACATATTCTCCATCATTTATGTATATAATATCGTTATATATACATTCGATATCTGTAGTTGTATCTAATATCTCCTTAGTCACTCTGCATTCTGAATGCTGAAAAGTAAAAAAAAAGGTTCAAGTGTTAGGAAGATAATTCGAAAATGTGGCAGTGTATCGGCACAACATTAGCCTTACTAAAATGTCAACGTTCACGTCCCCTCACTAATCATTCTGACACTTGACTTTGTAACGAAAGCACGTCATTCGCGTCAAATGATTTTAACTAATAATAGTCTAAAATAAATTAAACCTACACACATCAGCTACCTTCCAGTCCCGTCCAAATCGGTCCAGCCGTTCTGGAGATTACCCGGAACGAAAAATTAAAAAAAATTGCATTTATAATTTTACTATCACATCGAACCGTAAGCGCGTATTATAAAAAAAAACTTAACTAGTCTATGTGTTCTTATAGACTATGTTCTATATCTATGCCAAATTTCATCAAGATCCATGCAGCCGTTCTGGAGATACCTTCTAACAAACATCCATCCATCTAAACTGCGAATGTTTGGATAGATGTTTGTTTGTAGCTATCTCCAGTACGGCTGCATATATCACAACACATAGGCTACTTAATAAGCCTTCTTTAATTCCGCACGGCCGGAGTCGCGGTCGATAGTTAGTTTATAATATTAGTAATATAATGTAGCATATACTTACATAACATTTAACCCAATCTTTACCCTGGCATACAACTTTAGGCAATATCTTGTCAAATTTTGTCACTTCCTTGGCAAAGGGATCCAACTTTGGTATCTCACATCCTGTACCTTTGTCTTCCTTCAACGCTTCTTCTAATTTTTCTTCTATATATCTATAAGAAATAATTATAACTAATATAAATTAAGACTCATATACAAAATATTTAAAAATTTCTACTGAAAAAAAAAATCAAAAATAAACGGTACGCAAAAAGTTACATGCTTTTTTAAATATCACAAAATGGCACCTTAATAATTTTAATATGAATATTTCTTATATACTGAAATACTTTATTATAAAGAGAACTACTCGAATGATGACTCGAAGGACCAAAAAATGATAATTAGGTTAAAAAGAAATCATTTGTTGCTCAGCCATGAGACACCCACTGCTGCGTATAGGTCTCCCACAAAGATCGCAACGATGACCGGTCCAAAAAGAAATCATTTAATTTCAAATAATTATTTTTCTCAAATTAAATATTTATTTATATTTAATTTAAAATTAATTAAAAATAAAAAAAAATGTTTTCGTAAGAAATCTACGTTCAACTCTAGATCAGTGGTTCCCAAACTTATTTTGTCTACTGCCCACTTTGAGAATAAATATTATTTTAGCGTCCCCGTATTTTCACATATTTAAAAACCACTATAACTTCAAATTAAATTAATTATTCATTGTGACCTATATATGTATATTAACGGAGAATTCTAAACGAAACTTTTACTGTAACCCGCAACTTGAGACCTGCAGCGCCCACAAGGGGGCGTTATCGCCCACTTTGGGAAAGACTGTTCTAGATAAAGACAAATTAATTGTAAAATGAAATTTCAATATAACGTACGAAATATTAATTAACATACAAAATATAATTAACCTAAACCTGACCTAGTCTTAAAATATAAGATCTATCGGTCTAATCGAAACTACATAATTAAACTAGAAACATTAGCACAAAGTTGCATTTTTGTGACACATTCCACAACAAACTACACAGCTAAAAGCAACATACAAATACTACTTACTCGATCACTGACTTTCTGAAAACAAAACAAAAAACAATCATGTAATAAAGCAAAAAGTTAAAAACTACCAAGTCTATGGTGCGACAAAATCTGGCCGGAGTGAAGCGTTTAACCGCGTAATCGTCAAACAAGAATATCTGGCATAAAGGGACGCAACCAAAGAGGTAAGTTCTGTCAGTAAATATATAAAACCTACATGGACATAAAAATTGGCATAAAAGAAAAAACGACATGACAGCTATATATAGTACAAAAAGTACTTTGTGACATTTTCAGGAGGGCGCTAGTGAGCTATAATTAAATTTGACTTATGCCCACCAGGTCAAACAATCTTGTTCATCTATTTAGTTTCGCATACCGGGCCAAGAAAGTTTGTCGCACTATAGATTAAAAAATAAGGCAACAAACATTTAAACAAACAAAAGCAAAAATGAAGAGTTCAATCCATGCAAATGTCAAATTTCAATTCACACTTCATGCATAATTAAAATCATAGTAAACAATCTAACATTGTAACAAAAGCGTTAAAGTAAGCCATATCCTAACAATAATATGACAAACATATAAATCGGGTGCTTTAGTATTAATAAATTAAATTTACTTGTCCTAGTTAGGGTTGCCAGTACGCCAAACCTTATAGCCGGACAGACCAACCAGTTTGTCCGGACATTTGGGTAGAAAGGCACCCTACATTATTGAAGCTTATCTCGTTTACGAAATATAAAAAGCTTAACAAACCGGACAATCCGTACGCCGTTTATTTTAGCCGGACACGCATTCGCCTATCTATGTCCGGCTTTATCCGGACGCCTGGCAACGCTAATCCCAGTCCTAGGGTATGGTCATAGGAAAATAAACAGATAATCAAAAAACAAATGAAAAAAACTAGAGTTATGTTTTACTATTATACTAAATTACATACTAGCTGTCACCCGCAACTCCGTCCCCGCAAAATTAAAAAAAAATGGTTGCAGCGGAATTTTATATAGCCTAAAGCCCTCCACTATAAATGGACTATCCAGCAAAAAAATATTTTTTAAAATCGAATCGGACAAACAAACTATTCCGCGTTATAATATTAGTATAGATTTCACATAACAGACATACTATTTAACAATAAATATAATAAAAATAAAAGTGTTAGCTGATTTTATCATTTGCCAAGTTTATTATTCTTTTCAAATGTTTTAGTGGTTCAAGGTCAATGGCGCGCTGCGCTGCCCTTCCCCCGCGCATCCCGCTACACCTAACATTGTGTTCTGCGCAACGACTCGCGCGAAGTTAAGATTCGTCAAATATTTTAAAACATATTCTAGTAGCATAATGATAACGACGAATCATTTCTTATCAAAAAGATATATTGAAACATATATAGTTTAATCCTATTATTTGGGATTTGTCGAAAATTACAAAATGGACGAGTTAAAAATAACACGATATCAAAGAAAATGTAATATGACAAATGATTTAACCAGGATTATAAAATGGAATAAAGTTATGTGGAACAAAACATGTATTAGTTTCGGTTTGCATTAGCGAAACATCCAAATAAAAACGTCAACTCAGATTTTTTTCCTACACAATGAACGACTAACCTTTGGTTTTGAAATGCAGTTAATAGATGGCGCTTTCTTATCCAGTCAGTGAAGTTTTTTGATTTTTTAAATTAAAGTGAGGTTACTATTTTGTGTCAATCTTCCGACAGTGAAAACTAATTTATATTATGCAAAATTAATGAATGTATGTATGAAAAGCAAATTATATAAAAATTTTGGAAAACAATTACCTGTTATATAAATCATTAGGACCTAAATGATGTGCATTTGGATATTCAAAAGTAGGTGCACGGCTCAATTTTAAACTACGCAGAGGTTCTATACTACAAGTACAAAAAACAGAATAATTAGCAGAAAAGTAGTTAAGCAAGACAAAAAATACTAAATATTTCAATTAACAATGTGCGAAAAAAAGTACACATTTAAAAGTAAAAAAAAAAATTTTTTTACAAAATTAAAAAAATATTTTCATCATGCACATTGGTATTTGAAACCCATTATACGAATGCAAAATTAACGGGGTCAGGGATTAAAAGGGACACAAATCTATTTTCAAAGCAAAAAAATGTAATTCAAAAATGTTCCGATGATTTGGGCGCTTTGTACCCCTTGAACATGGGTATAAAGGGTTCAAAGCACCCTATCCCCGTCTCCGTCAATAACATTTGAATGCCCGCAACCGATGAAACAACAAAGCATTGAATATACATGTATTTCAAACTATTAATTCTAGCTTAGTATTAATTCATCTGACTGTTATGCCCAGTTTACATTTTTCCAGTCCAGCGATTGAATTCAGCACTGGATTATAATTGGAAAAATCTAAACCAACACTGGCCAACTGACCAACACCAATCTTCATATCAAATTAAAAAATTGCCTCATACTTTTTGGAAAACAATAAACTTTTTGATAAGATACAATCAGTATTTTTGTTACTTCCTTTAATTTGACCTCATAAAGGGGATTTAGATTTATTTTAATCTATCTTTATAAAAAGAAAACAATGTTTGAAACCCATACAATCCTAAACTGACACAATTTGTGATGAAATTGGATATTTAATTTAGTTGTTTTTGAAGAAGACAACGGCAAATGAGCAAGATGATTTGTTGCCCACCATATCAGAGGAGTGGACGTACACAAAGGCATATCTCCCCTTCCAATAGTATTAATAATCAGAAAATTCTTCATCACACATTACTTTTTATCTGTGTACTTAAAAGTTGACCTTGTAATGTAGATAATAGATTTATTATTGAACAATTAACCGAACTTTGAACCTAAAGTATACGCCCACTTTTTAGCAAACATCAAAAAGAAGGAGGTAATCATTTTGACTGTATTATTTGTGTGTTACCAAATAATTCCGCTCCTGGTGTTTTGATAATTCTTCTTTTAATCGAAAGGTAGTGCTTTCAGGAGTGTCCGATTTTTTTTTTAATTTTAAAACACTAGTAGGCCTCCATAGCGGAGGCATACCCACTAAACCTCTCTGTTCCTCCAACGCATCGGGACGGGACCAAGGGCACGCTTTCGCTCTCGTCCGCGGCCACACTAGTAGGCCAGTACATTTTGAATTACCCTTAAAAATGCAACAAAAAAACTCTTTCTTGTTTGTTCCTTTGCTTTCGTAGGCTAAACTATAAGACCTACATAAAAATGATGTATGACAGAATTGTAGTTCTTTAACCGTGGGTTTCTCAGACTAAAATCTCCGTTTGAAACATATTGTTATCTCTGTTTAATCAAAGATTATGACAGAGATGACGATATGTTTTATACAGGTTCAGGTCTCAGAAACCAACGGTAAATTTGCTATAAATAAGTCCGCGATAGCATATACGTATATTTTATAGTTTTCTCACAATAAAGGTACAAATGAACCATAACAAAGATAAACGAACATGCTTGTTCAAACATTCCGCTGATTTCCTACGTAAAATCTTATCTTTTTACAGTTTGCTTAAGTCTTTATCTATCAGTTGTCAACTTGTAATCAGTTATACTTAACTACTGTTAGTTTAACGAGTTTAACAGTGAACTTCCACTGCATAAACACCTGTTACAATACAAAAAAAAATAGTTGCAATTTTTTTTTTTATTTTTTCAAAAATATTTTTTTTTCAATTTTTTTGACTAATTTTTAAATAAATATAGTAAGTTTTCATACATGTTTTAGCAATAAGAACCCACTCTTATATTCAAACAAACATTAAATTTATCACGTTGTCAGATAAACGAGCAAGCGAATTGCATAATTGTACCAATAACTTGAATTTAGTAAATTTATAATCTGACTAGACAAACTATCAGAATAAGGTCAACTGTATAACATGAGAGAATCATTATAAGGGGGTTTTATAAACTGACATTTCAACGAAAAATCGTCAAATTATGAAATGATATTTTTCTTATTCTTAACGTTAAAAAAAGCTAGAAACACGAAATAATTCCAACTTGCTTTAGGAATAGGATGCGTCAATAGCCTAATGGTCAAGGGTACGGATTTCCGATCCACTATTGTCGTAAACCATATCCTAGCACAAGCCTAGATCTTAGTTGGAATGGTAAAAAATTAGTAAATTTACAAAAAAAATGTGCTAATATTTTAACAAAAAAAAATATTATGTTAAAATTAACCTTTAAACAAAGTCCAATAAACTTGATATAACATATTCATACAGCATACCTTATCAAAAATATTGATAATATTGAATTACTAAAAAAAATGGAACAGATTTATCAGACAAGAGAATATACTGTTATCAATTATCTACTGCACAAAAATTTATTACGAAACATGTTATTGTATACATTCACCAAACACAAACATTACAAAGGAAAGAAAACTGATATTAAACAACAGAATAGTGAAAACAATCAAGAAAGCATAGCATTAAAAAGTATATTTAAAAAAAAATGAAAAAATCCAAATCTAATCTACAAAAAAAAAATGTGGGACTAGCACAAAAAATTACGAGAAAAATTCGTAACGTCATCAACAAAGTGTATACTAGATTTGTACAGTATGTATAAAAAAAACAATAAAAAAATCTCATACAAAAAAAAAATGTCAGTAATTTTCTCTCGTAGATTTTCATGCTAGGTCCCAGTAGCATTCGAATCACGATATCGCATAGTCAAAATCTATGGAACATTAAATAGGCCAAGTGTTTGATGTTTCTATTAGGGATATCGCAAATCGAATAAATAGGTCACACTACTCACCGTCTTGTTATGTCTAAATTCTCCTCTCTATCAAGATTATCTTGCAGTGATATATAATATAAGATGCACAATATCAATATAAATAAAATCACAATTTGATATTTCCTGAATCTGTACCATCTCACCACCATTTTGATCTGTGAACAAGATTTAAAAAAAAATTACACTATATTTGTACTTGAAAGAATGTTCTATATCTGTGTCGAATTAAAAAAAAATGTTTTGAACCGCTGCAGAATTATCGAGTAAACATGTAAAGAATAAAAAAACCCATGTATTATTTGAACTATTATTTATGACAACAAAACAAACTTATCCTAACAGAACCTTACATATTTCCGGGACAATATAGCCCATGTGTTCTTCTATACTCTATTTCATCCTGATCTATAAAGCTGTTCTGGAGATAACATATAACAAACATTTATCTATCCAAACATTAATATTGAACGGCGGCCTCGGACTGGTTGACGCAGCATAGGTAGGCCTCCCACATGATGGACTAATGACCTGGTCAAGGTTGCGGGATTGCACTGGATGCGGGCGGCACAGGACCAGGCATTGTGACAATCGATGGGGGAGGCCTACGTCCAGCAGTGGACAAATTTAGACTGATTATGATGATGATATCATCAGCTCACTATACATCCTCACCGAGGGGCTCGGAGCCTACCCTAAGTTATGTGTGAATATTAGTAAGAAGTACTATACATAATATTATATATAAATTTTGTAACAAAATGTATGGAGCATTTAAAAACAAGTCCACTGCAACAACTGATTCTATATGCTGTGATAATTTATTGTTTACTGTAGCAAAGACATTCAACAAGTCTAATGTCTCACATCAATTCATATGTAAACGGGTATTATGTATTGTGAGGTCTGAAACTAATTTGTACACAATATCTTTAGTTCTTCATATATAGGTAACATTTTGATGACAATTTCAAGTGCAAATAAAATCACTTATTTAAATGGTTATTTAATCTACAGTAAACTCCCTTAGTGATGGTTAACAGAAATAGTACATAAGAGGAATGCTCATTCATAGAGAATAAAAATTTTTGCCTACAAACTTTTATACCACATAAGTAATTAAAAAATATGATGGCTATTTTTTCATTAAAATATTAGTGGATATAATAATTATTGTCTTTGAAATAAAAAAATACTACTGTAAAGATTTTATCCATTCTAGGTGTGTAAATAAATTCGGTAGTCATATAATAGGTAATATTTAAATTATTGTCTTAGGTCAGTTCAGCAGTTCAGGCTATGACATATATTAAAATGCCATAAAAATGTAAAATAAAATAGCACAGTTTGCTTTGAAAATTATATTATATGCATTGAATTTTTTCGAATTACATATTGTGCATGTATTAAAATCGATGCCTATTTTATTTAAGTAAAATGAACAAGGAAAATAAGAATAAATATTTAAAATACTTACATTATTCTGGAAATTTTCCTCTAACCGCAAAGAATGAATACAATTTACGAACACTCGCAAAAGAAATAACAGCAAAACCAAATAAAAATGAAAACACCAATATTTATTTTAGTTATTTGTAATACGAGTTACATGACAACAGAAATTTAACTAAACTCACAATTTTTCTTATTCAAAAAGCGAAAGCGATAAAATAAAGGCCGCGTTCACAATTATGTCAAAGTCATTTTTTTTAATTTTATGACCTGGTAACATAGACCTTTAGGACAAATCTGTCAAAGTCAAGTCAGCTTTTGCCATAGAATAAAAATATTCAGACTTCTAATATTTTTAAGTTATAAATTACATTTCATCAAGTGAACATACTTAATACCATATTATTTTTTATGTATTATTCGTGAAGTGCAAGAATAACCGATCACAAATAAAAATTAGGTTTTAAAGAAAAAAACCAAATAGCGTAAACCGTGAATTTCCACTGCAATGTTCTTTTTAATTCCACGCGGACGGAGTGGCAGGCGAAAGCTATCGTCTATAAAACTTACGTAGAAATAACAGAGACGTGTTTCACATGGCACCGTTTAGGTAAAAATTATCAGTATAAATAATCTTTGCCAGACACTAACGCCCTACCATCTATGCTTTATTATGGTAGCGTTCATTTATTGCAAAGTTTTTAAATATTGTTTGGATTGTTGTTTATTAAAATTCTTAAGTTACGACTACACTGTCACAGTATTCTTCTAATTTCAAAACTTAATTTGTTTAGAAACAAATCTACAAACGGTCTTTCGCTGATATAGTGGTCATGTAATTGTGAGCTTCCATCGAAACATTGTGCCGTATTTCTAATAATTGCCAATATAATTTTATAAAGATTTTTTGAGATTTATAACCCACATTAAACATTCGGTTTTGCTTTTAGATTCAAAATGACTTCTTAACTGTAAACACGCGTGACTTAACGATATTCGTAAAATTATCCTATATTAAATTATATTAAAATTTGTTACATTATTTCCGATATCTCCTAGAAACTAGTTATATTTGCGTTTCAAGATATCGAAGGGCGTAAGTTCAAGATCAATTTTAATCAATATTTTACTAGTTAAAGTCCCTGGAAATGTTCACAAAACTAAAATAATTAAACATAAATATAAAATATCATGATTTAAATACACTATTTTGTTCATATGAGAAATATGAGCGATAAAATACTGTTGTTAAAAAGCCATAATTTTTAATAGCTCATTATTTCTAAAGCCATAAAAGTCAATTAACTGATTGATAACAAAGACATAAAACTAGAAAAATAAAAAAAAAACCATAGCAGCCGGACAGTAGCTGCAGCAGCAATGTCACATAGAAAACGTCAAGTGGAAGTAATTCTGCGTACAGTCTGATTAAAGATTTACTTCCTTCTTTGATTTGACAGTTGTAGAATATTAAAGAGACCCTTTTCATTTCATCCTGTCCTCTATCCAACATATTATTTTAAACTGATTTGATATAAAAACGGCTAAAGACTCACGTATATTCGTCCGGTGGCGGCACCGATTAGTTTCGAGCCCATCGGGGGCCCTTCATCAGGATGAGTGGTACTGGTATTATTTCGCGGACGCGGCCCGTCGCTCACTCAAATATATATTATTTTATTCAAGAATGTGGCCTTTTGTCAGTATATCATGTTTTATTATAATAAAATTGAAAGACGGATGGAAAATTTTAGTATCAAGCACTTTAAAACGTAATGTCTTCATTATAACGTATACTACTATTTAACATTACTATTAAACAATTTACATTGAAATAAATAATATTAACATCTGAAAGAAAATTAACATACAATATTACATTTAATTTGTATGCTAGTATGTTTAATTCTGTTCACAACACACAACAGAAACCAAAGTATAAACATACGTCTATATGTTTTCGTGTTGACCGCACGCATTATGTGTTAATTAGTGAATTACGGATCTTCAAGGTTGTATAACATAGTAAGTGTATTAACTTATTTGTGTAAAAACTATATTCATCAAATATTATTATATCTTGGTCGTTATGAAGAAATAAAAAAGTTCAAAGCCGTATAAATAAATATTATTAAATTCAAAGTCAATATTTCTTATTATAATAAAAACGTTAAAAAGTACATGAAAAAAGTAATTAATTTGATATTGATTACAATCCATTTTATTTGGTGATGACATTTGTTTTTTTTCTAGTTTTTAGGCACAAGACGATCGAATTAAAAAAAAGTATTATGAACGTTTATTATTAGTTAAGGATGAGAAAGAGTAGTCATAGAATTATTTAAAGAATTAACTAACTTATTTTAATAGTCTTATTTAACTGCGAAAGTGAATAAAAGCTTTCATAATAATTGGGATACAGTTACGTCATTGACGTATTGAACGTTGGCACTATGACCTCGATAGATTCATGGTGTATCTACCTCTCTTTCTAACACTTAACTTTAACGTATACATTTGTCTCTTTCAGCAAACAAAGGGGTCATAAAAACACAAGTTATGTTCTGCATTATATAAGTGTACAGATTATAAAGATTTTTTTTTTCGTTTGTAAAACTTATTATTTATTAAACAGTCGATTTATGTTAGTTTTTTGCCCGCGTCTTTTAAAAAAAAGAATAAGAATATGTTCTATATCCGTGCCAAATTTCTATAAGATGTTTTGGTATGTTACGGAGTTATCAAGTAAATATGTAAATTATACGTACGCCAAGGGAACAAACATTTCCGGGATCATAGGTATGTTTTCTTTCAGAATGTTCTACTAAATTATAGCAATCTTCACCAAATATCGTCGTGATCCATCCAAAACATTCGCATTCATAATATTAGTAAGATTGCTTATTAATTTCCGTTGTTTCAGGTAATAATGAAGACTTGTTTAATAATTATCTTGACGATTGCATCATCAACTGCAGATAAAAGATGCAAAGGTATCTACTTTGGGGATAAATATTATAATTTACATCTAATTAAAGAAGGAATCAACAAAATTGACAATTTAATATTGAATCGTAATGACGACATTTTATATTTTACATTTGAAGAGTTAAATACACCACCGAACAGACTGGTCGGTTATATTAATATGGATACAAAAGAAACAAAAGTCATAGATGGTATAAATAATGCCACTTCTATTGCAATTGACCACAGATTAAATAAAATTTTTGTTGGAAGTCAAAATGGACTTTACAAGATAAATGATTTAAAACAAGCAGAAAGGCTGCCTATACAAGATAGTATAGTAAATATACATTTCAAAGATGTTTTGTATTTTACAAATATAAAGGGTGATTCATTTATATTCGAAGACGGTTTCGGTGTAATCGTTCAAGAACTACAGGGTGTTAAAATTAAAGAATTAATAGTTGATAACGATAATAATATGTTTTTTGTAAGAAATAATACATTATTTAGAATTAAATTGGGCACAAAAGCTATAAATATACATGAAAAAATTTACGTCGATGTTATAAGTACGGATATATATACAAAAGCCTATATTTGTAGTAAAACTGGTGTTTACGTGTATAATAAATATAAATTCGCATTAGATAGAGTTTCCGATATGAATTATTTGAAAGGTTTAACATTTAATAAAGCAAATGAACCGATTTATGCAGCTAAAGATTTGATAATTAAACTCAGTGAGAATCAGATTCCTTGTTTTGAAGATTAATATGAATACTAGCTGTCGCCCGCAACTTCGTCCTCGCGGGAATAAAAAATAGATAGTAGAATCTTAGAGCTACTTAATGCATATAAAATATCATAAAAATCAGTGAAGCCGTTTCTAAGGAGTATGGTAACTAAGATTGTGACACGAGAATTTTATATAGAAGACTATCTTAAATTTAGAATAAAATAAAAAAAAATAATAATTAATAGTCTATGTGTTCTTCCAGACTATGTTCTACATCTATGTCAAATTCAGCGAGATGCAGCCGTGCTAGAGTTACCTTCTAACAAACATCAATCCATCCAAACATTCGCATTTATAATATTAGTAAGATAGTAAGATTGACAAAAGTTAATTGGAGAAAATATAAAGAAAACTTTCATAATATATTACTATAAGCTAATTAAAAACGGGTAACACTCATGTATAAATATAATCCAGTGACGTCACCGATTAAATTCGGGTCTGTCAAGTGTTTTTCATCTTTAGCAATAAATATAATAAACAAGAAAGATACTGTAGAATAAGATTGCCGGTTCTTTGAGTTTCCACTGACCGGAGAATTGTAAAAAACATTTGATGTGTGTGTAATTAAATAATTAAGTATACGTTTTAAACATTTTTTTTAATTTTTTATAATAAATAAAATTTTATCTATAAAATAACTTTATTCATCTATCCTTATTAAAATAATAATAGTTTTGAGCGTCGGTGGCTCAGGAGTTAAGCACTTGACATGCAATCTGTAAATCCTGGGTTCGAATCCCGCCATGTACCAATGTCTTTTTCGATTTCCGAATTACATATGTACGTTTATCCGACGTTCTTACGGTGAAGGAAAACATCGTGATGCTGCACATATCTGAGAAGAAATTCAAAGATATGTGTGAAGTCAAACAACTCGCACTTGGCCAGCGTGGTTGACTATGGCCTAATTACCCCTAACTTAGGGTAGGCTTCGATTCCCTCGGTGGAGATTTATAGTGAGCTGATGATATTTTAATAGTGGTTGAGCCCGCTTTAACATCTTCGCACGACTTGTCCCGGCTCGCCCGGTGAAATACCACGACCATACAGAAGGCAGGCGTGAAGTGGAAGCTATTCCAACTACAGTCTGATGAGTGTGCGTCCCGGAGGCCTAATTTAGTCCTCTTTCCCTTCCCATCCTTTTTCTTATAAGGAAAGGATGGGAAGTGGAAGTGGACTTTCCGGATGAGAGGATGCATGGAATGGGAAAATATTTTCTTTCTGTGCATCCTCTCCTCCGTCGATTAAAGGTAGGCAACGCATATGTAATTGCGTATGTCTATGGGCAACGGTCACTTCGCTATATCAGCGATTTCAGGTGGCCGCTCGCTCGTTTGCCACTTTATGATATAAAAAAAAATGATGATGTATAATATTTTTCGCATTTAATTTAGAAAAACTATTAAAATATTGTGTAGATTGTATTATTAGGTTCCAATTATTTTGAAGAATGGTAAAATGAATTGAAAAACATTTTTCAATCAACAAATTTATTTACAATTTAGTTAAATCGTGAAATTGACAAAAAAATTGTGGACTAGTCATGATCGGCAACAAAAAATGAGTTCGCAGCTGTAACAAGAAAAAACAATATTTATTATTTAGGAAAAACTAGAACTTTCCAATAAATAAAGAACTAACAGATGTGCTAGTAAATATCTGAATAACAAAAGGGTGTTCTAATTTGTCGATCCCAAGTCTTTTTTTAATAATTTTTTTGGGGATTTTTAATTTAATAAACGAGCTGGCATAATCATACCGCCGCGATTGATGACGGGTTTGACAAAATTGTAAAAAATAAGACCAACATTATTTAAATTAACTTTCAGTTCTGCGAACAGCAGCTCACGATGTCGTATGTTTTTCTCGCACTCCAACAGCAAATCTTGGTCATATTCGGGCTTCATTTTTGTACAATGTTAGTTTTTATGAAAACCCTTTTGGGGGTTAAAGTTCAAACAAAATATTATACTGAGTTATATAGAAAGAAAAGCTCTGAGATATATATTTCCAATACATATACTGACGTGTAGGTGCACTAGGTGACGATGTCTGTGGGGTGCGCGGGACAGATGACGCCGCGACATTCTTCTCCGTAGTCAGGACAAGGTCTGTCTGACGACTTCAGCGGCTCCACTTTACCGCCGTATTGTATCACCCTGTTGTGTATACTTCAATATTTACATCATATTTTAATGTATACTTAGGTATTTGAATCATCCTGTATGTATAATTATTTTACGTCACCCGTAATGTATATTTTATTTTTGTAATGTATACTTAAGTTTTTGGAACATCCTGTAGTAACACAGACAAGTTGATAAAGTACATCAAAATTTGAGCTTTCAAGTTTTTTTTATTGTTATTTAATTCTTTTTAAGGTTCCGTACTTCATAGGAGAAAAAACGGAATCCTTATAGGATCACTTTGTTGTCTCTGTCTGTCTGTCAAGACTCTTTTTTTTTAAATATACTTGCCCATAATCTCCTTTCTCCATCCATTTCTCGTCGATTTTGTTCAATTGTTCAAACTTTCCTTTAGGCAGACCGCAGATCAAGTCCGCCTTCACTGTACGCAGCGCTATTATAGGCGCGGGGTTGAAACCTAATAAAAAGTATATAAAATAAAAAAAAATAACACTAAACTAAAATAATAAATCCGTACATCTGTTTTTTTTATACTTATAAAGTAACAAACGAGCGAGCGTACACTTTAATTCGCAGAAATAGGTGCATTTTGCAGATGCATTGTCTTCCCCTCACCGACAGAGGAGGGGACGCACAGGAAGAGGATATTTTCTCTTCCTACATCAAATCCACTACCCCTTCCCTTCCCTTCCTTACGGGAAAAAAGTGGAAAGGGGAAGAAAAATTAGTTCCGTGTCTTCTATGTGGTCGTAGTATTGCCCATAAGTGCTAAAAACTGGTGATTCTACCACTGCTAAAATATCTTTATCTCTGTCACACGTATGGTTGATCGTGCGAGTGCGACAGAGACAAGTGTCACCTTGCAGCGCCTGCTCGAAGCTGAGAGTGGGAGGACAGTTCCTCTCCGCCAGCAGCTTGCGGTAGTTGAGGTCGCCTTTGAACAAAATGGCGGCGGTGAGCTGCAGCTTGCGGTACAGCTGGAACGCCTGCGTCTTCATCTCCTTGTACATGATCGGAGAGGTCCAGAACTCGTCGCACTACGGACACGTTCATATACATCGGATGGATACATTGGTACAAGACGAATGGATATATTGGTACTAGTTGATTGGATATATGTATTGGTACGATTCGAATGGATACGTTGGTACAAGTCGAATGGATACACTGGTACAAATTGAATGGATATATTGGTACAAATCCAATAGATATTTTGGTACAAGTCAAATGGATACATTGCTATATCTGTAATGGATAATTTAATTTCATCGTGATCCATTAAGCCATTCTAGAGATACCTTCTAACAAACATCCATCCATCTATCCATTAGTAAGATATATAGATAAGTTACCATAACAACAAAAGTGCCATCCTCAAAGAACTGCATCCACTGAGAGCCGAGCTGGCGCAGGTTGTCCGCACTCACTGTCAGCGGCGGCGGGGGATCTGTCGCGCCCCCACCCTCACCACTCTCTGTGACATCATCTTATATACCATTGTGACATGAATAAACAACGTGTTCAATTGTCTATGTTCTACATCTATTCTTAAATTTTTTTATAACAGAAGGGAGCAAACGAGTAGTAGGAACACCGAGGTGTTCATCGACCATGGACATCAACAATACCAGAAGAAGCGCAGATATGTTGACGGCTTTTAAGATGGTGATACGTTCGACAATTTTCATCGATATCCATAAAACCATTCTATCTTTATATATATAATTCTTCTGTGCGTGTGTATGTCACTGAACTTCTCTCAAACGACTGGAGCGATTTTGATGAAATTTTTTGTGTGTGTTCAAGGGGATCTGGGAATGGTTTAGATTCACAATTTTCATCAAATATTAACTTCATATTAATTTATTCAAATTAAAGACGTGTAGACAGGACAACTTGTGTCGGGTCCGCTAGTATATATACATTTTAACAAACATTCGCATTTATAATATATTAATAAGATAGTAAGATTTATCTTATAATTTCCACAAAGAGACAATGGGTTTCTGGGGCCAGATCCCCGTGTGATACATATTGTTATCTCCGTTTTGTTAAAGATAAATGACAAGGATGACGATATGTTCAGAAAATAACAGTTAAAAAGGCAATTATTTTAATGTCTAGTTAACTTCAGTTCAATTCAAACAATAGGTAATATATTTAGTTACCTGGTGGAGCTTCTTGCGGCACTTCTCTACTGTAATTAGCGTTTGCGCACATTTCTAAAGTTTTCCTGTAAAAAAAGAACGAAAATATTAAAAACAAAAATAAAGTTCCACTTCATCATACTAGCTTTAGCCCGCGACTTCGTTCGGGCGAAATTAAAAATAAATTCCAGTTTGATACCTAGACAGACGGACGGACAACAAAGTGATCCTTCAATGGTTCCGTTTTTTTCCTATGAGGTACGGAACCCTAAAAATAACTTTTTTTTTAATTAAAAAATCTATCCTGTGATACTCTGAGATAGTGTAGCTTCCTAACAGTGAAAGAACAGTTAAAATCGATCCAAACAAACAAATAGACCAATGTATGGATGTCACTAGAACGGCTATATGGATCTCGCTTAAATTTGTCATACATATAGAACAGATCCATACAGAGTCGCGGGCGACAGCTAGTTATACATAAAAACTTACTTAAAATCAACCGGAGTGACATCAGACACAAACCATGGAATCTTTTTCACATGGAATCTAACCTGAAAATGTAAGCAATATTTTTTTAAACATCGTAAAATATATTTTTTTATTTATTAAAAATATTAGCAGAGTTTTTGTAAATTTACTAATATTTCTTTTACAATTCCAAGTAAGCTGTAGACTTGTGCTAGGATATGGTTTACAATAGTCGAATGGCGGGATTCAAACCCCCGACCTCGTGATCGGAAATCCGTATCCTTAACCATTAGGCTATTAACGCTATTATTGACTATTTTAATACATATATCGATTATATAACTTTATGAACTCGTTATTTACCTTTTTCACAATCTCCTGTGATATTAAAAAGTGTGCGAAACACAAATCCGAGAATAATTCATAACCAGAGTTGTCGCAAACTATATCTGAAAATTGTTTAAAATAATTATATTCATAGTAAATACTTTTAAATTATAATTTAACTTAATAGTGGTAGAGCCCGCTATAACATCTTCGCAGGAATTGTCCCGGCTCGCCCGGTGAAATACCACGACCACACAGAAGACACGCCTCAAGTGGAAGCAATTCCATGTACAGTCTGAGTCCTCTAGTCCTCTTTCCATTCCACCCTTTTTCTTATAAGGAAAGGATGGGAAGTGAAAGTGGACTTTCCGGATGAGAGGATGCATGGAAAGGGAAAATATTTTCTTTCAGTGCATCCTGTCCTCCGTCGATTAAAGGTAGATAACGCATATGTAATTGCATATGTCTATGGGCAACGGTCACTTCGCTATTTCAGCGATTTCAGGTGGCCGCTCGCTCGTTTGCCACCTTATGATATAAAAAAAAGTATAAAAAGTACACGGAACTCATACAAACTTACCAACAAACGTATAGACAGACAGAAAAACTTTTATAAATTGAAAAAAAAATAATTTGGTTATTCATTATCAAAAATGATTTTTAAATAAATAAACGCGTAAAAAAGCACAAAAAGAAAAATGTATACTTACCAAATGTAACAACTTCGGGCAGCACCATCTTGGCGGGGCAGGGGATCTTGGGGGGCTCCTCTGTCACCTCGCCCTCCGCTTCCGGCGCCGCTTCAGACTTCACTTCCAGCTTCGCTTCAGACTTCGCTTCAGACTTCGCTGCGGGATCTGCTTCCTAAATACAATATTGTCAAAGTTAATCCTGCTTTAATTCCTTGAATAATTAATATTCAATTTTAAATACTTATATAATGTGTATAAAATCTGAATCATTTCAAAAATCTAGTTGTTCAAGTTCTAATACTTTGCTACACTGATCTAATTAAATGATGGGAAGGGAACGTAAATTTGACGAAGGAGAGATATAGTTTCTAATATTAAAAAATAATTAAGCGACAATTACAAAAATTTACTATAAAATATTTAATTTTGGTAGAAATAAACTCAAAGAAAATTAATAAAACATCTAAACAACAAAATAATTGTATCATCTACAGGATACAGAGTATAGAACCTTGTCAGGACATCTCGGTATGCCGAACTGTGTTGCCAGTCTGTGACAACTGCATTGAAATTTAAATGTCGTATTCTGCAATGTTACCATACCAAAAATATAACTTCTATCAATTATTTTAATTAAAAAAAGGCTTCCAAAAGCCTTTTCTTTGGGTAAATTTCATTAATTTTATCATTTATAATACAAAATGTCATTTTATTGAAAATCAAATTTTATATTAAATTACATTTATCATACTTATATTATAAATTTTAATGTATGTATGGATAGAAGGATGTTTGTTAAAAGATATCTCCAGAACGGCTCTCTCCAGAAATGGATATCACTGAAATTTGTCATAGATCTAGAACATAGTCTGGAAGAACACATAGACTGCTAACTGTGTTTTGTTTTTCATTTCGCATGAACAGAGTCGCGGACGACAGATAGCAGGTTATAAATATATGGAATTAGTTAATTACGAATGAATTTGTATAGTAAATATATGTGTCTTGTGTAAAAAAATATATTATTATATATGTAACTTACCGCAGCAATAGCCTTCGCCATAGCCTCTGTTTTCGCTATAACTTGATCGCATATTTTAGAGGAATCGTCCACTAACACCTGAAATTATATCATACAATCTACAATAATAATATAAAAAGGAATAATTTGTATGTTAGTATGTAAATAAACACATATAAAATTATACTAGAAAGCTACTTTATCAATGAGTAACATATATTTTTAGTAGTATTTTTTCAATTCCATGCGGATGAAGTCGCATGATACTGCTCGTATTAAATAGACATGTAAAGTGCAAAAACCCAAAAATAAATTATAAATTGACAATTTGACATTGACGTAAAAGGGTTAATTCAATTTTGACAGCTGTCAATGTCATCAAATTGGAAAAAAATGACATTTAAATTACAATTCCACAGAATTACGTCAAATTAAAACATACCTTATCTTTTAAATCCAATACCATTTTGAATGGATCCAAAATGGACAGAGAAGCAACACTGGCGGATCTCGCCTTGCCATCAGCTGACTTCAATGACACCTGCTCGCCCATAGACAATGACAGATCACATTTGTTCGCCCATAGACAAATCTGTAATATTTTTTACTAAGTTAGCACCGCTGTCACGCACCACACCTAGTTTTTTATTGCTAAAAAAATATTCTAGTTAATATTCTGGATGATATTGATTTCTGAGTTATACTGTAACTTAATTGGTCACTAAGTGAGATACATAGTGTAGATTTCTCTTAATTAATATACACTATGGTTGACTAATTAGAGACTGTGACAAATTGTTCCCAACAAACTCCGCCCATCTCTAACAAACTCCATCCATCTCTAACAAACTCCCTCAATCTCCAATAAACTCCTTCCATTTCCAACAAACTTCCTCAATCTCTAATAAACTCCGTCCATCTCCAACAAACTCCGTCCATCTCTAACAACCTCTGCAATCTCCATCCCAGTTACCTTACCTTCAACAAGGTGGTAAAGTCAGCTTTCCGTTTATCCTTATCACTGGGTGGCAGCATGGTGACAAGCTTGTCAGCCACAACGCACATCGGCTCCAAACTGTTCTGGAAAGCTTTTAACTTCTGCTCATCGAAGGGATCGAAGTTTTTAAGTCCTTTGCTGAAAAATATAAAAAAGGGTCTTAACAGACAAACGGATGCGGAACAAAGTGATCGTATCAGTGGTTTTTTTCCTTTTGAGATACAAAACCCTAAAACAGTAAAAACAAATGAATGCCTCAAAATCTTGTTTTGCTTTTCAAGTTTTCAAGATACAGGACGATAACTTCTATTGCGCATTGTATGTATGTAACTTTTGTAACATCCTGTAACCTAAACGACTGTACTGATTTTGACGAGTGAGATTTTTATTAGATTCGTTTTCTTCCCTCGAGTGTTATAGCCTGGATTTAATTTTTTTTTAAAGATAAATATTCCAAAGATAAAAATATGACAATTTATATATTTTAATAAAATAGGAATATCTATATAATATCGAAATTGCATTATAGAAAAACTAATTTTTAATTTTCTTGTCTGTATGTCTGTCCATAAGACGGTAGTTTATGTACGCGGGCATGTCATAGGTTACTTTATTTTTAAATAATTCGCTGAAAAAGTCGAGGGCAAACAAGAAAAAGGTTAACTTCTCACCTTAACTCACAACCTTCTCTTAATCTTCTGTAAACGTAACATTCCGTGAACACCCAAGTATTAGTAAAATAATGTTGACTGTCACAACTTTCAATCCAATGGTTCCATCTTTTAGCTTCAGGGGTGTCAACAGTGAATAAATCATATTTCTTATTTGTTACAAGATCATTTTTCAACTTTGTTACGTATTGTATCAACCCTCGAATGTCGTCATCGCTCTGGAAAATTAAAAAGATATAAAAAAAAACAAATTCAAATGATTTACGAGTTTGCACTTACAACACATGCACATAACAATATATTCTTCTCATCATTATCTTAGTGTTTCCATAAAGAGAGAAAGAGACAACTACTATTTTATGTGAATGACATTAAAATTAAGTTTGCGTTAAAATCGAATATCGAATAGCAAATTGTGACATATAAGAGCTATATTAAACACGTATCTATTACTTTGTGGCCAATTTTCAACCTTATTGCATTGCGTAAAACAAAACGAAATCTGTCAAAAATTATATCCTTGACTGTATCACAGAGTAATGTACAAACAGAGATATTTAATAATTTATTATTAAAAATTAAAATCTTACCGCATTATGCGCCGATCTTATTTTTGAACCTTCTCTTGATAAATAATCTATAACTTTGGTCAGTATCACAGGCAATCTATCCCTTAGAGAATAATAAGCGAAACTCCTGGAATCAATAAAAAAAAGATTTACTAAGCAAAATTACAAATAACTACGTCGGACTGGCTACTTTTCATTTTAATCGCTGACGAAGTCGTGGGCAACAATTAGTCTTTTATGAAATTTTAATAAAAATCCAGAAAATTATAATCCCTGTCTGTTCCTCTGAATTACTGTCGTGAATATTTATATTTTAAAATAACACATTATTTTTTTTTCGTTAACAAAAAACATAATCTAAATATTATATGCAAACATATATTTCTCTAAATAATCAATTATTTTATACCCAATTATGTTTATAGACAGTTAGAAAAATTACTGATAACAAAAAAATCAACAAAAAGTATCGCCCGAACAGGGACTTGAACCCTGGACCCTTGGATTAAAAGTCCAATGCTCTACCGACTGAGCTATCCGGGCTGTGAAAGTTATAGTTCAAAATATACATTTCATGCTAGAATTTGATTCCATTGAAAAACAAAAACCTTTTACTAAGATAAATATACTTTTAAACCAAATATGTTCCCAATGATAATTTTTTTATATAAAATATGACATTCCATTAAAAAAATATTGGTAACTAATACAAACAATCATCTGCATAGCTTAGCATGGTTTAGCAAATGAAATAGTAATATAACTAAACAAATAAATGGCTCCTATGTTAAATATAAACAACACAATTAATAATGCCGCAACATAAATAAACAATAGAGAAGAAAAATCTACAGATCTTTCTATAATAACTTTTAAATTTACTCAGAAATTATTATTTTTTAAATTAATTTCAAAAACATAGAACATGGTGTAAACATCAAAATTGTGACATGATAGTCTTCATATGAGTCATGGAAATATTCATTGATGGAATATTACTAACAAGAAATGTTTAATTAGCATAATATATGATAAGATATAATTAATTTGAATTAAATTGTCTTAATTTGTTTACATATATGATAATGAATATCAGTTCACATGATAAATCAATGTATAGTTATATGTTTACTATAAAAGTAATGAAAATACTAAATCTATAACAATAACGGCTCCAATGTAAATAATTATAACCCAAAATTTTACTATTTGGGCAAATTTTAATATTTTTCAAATTTACTTTATGGTAGTGTGGTAAAATAATAAATACTATCTGTATAATAATAAATTCTTAAAATAAAAAAAATAAAATTTATACTGTGTGTTGGTTTTGCATGCTGCATTAATTTTAATAGTATTTGTTGGGGTCTTTCAAATTTGATGTTTCATTGGAATCAGCCATACTATGATATCGGAGGAACTATCAATATTTATATTGCTTAAAGAGTATTTGAATATTTATGCAAAATAGTCTAGAGGTGGTAATATTTTTAGCGTCTCTAGTTATACACAAATATGCCAATTCCATTGTCACTTATGATACTCTTTGAATTGCTTACTAATTTTGAAGAAATTGTTAATTTCCGTATGGAATAAATATGTGTTCTTGTTCAGATGTTTGGCAGTAAAGAGTAAAAAAGTTTCTGGATAATTGTATATGAGAAAAAATATTAGCAGAAGAACTACGAGTAATCAGACAGTATCAATCGATTTTATAAATACAGATAACCTATGCAATATTTTTATGACATTGCTACAATTTAAGATATGGAAATGGACATACTTCTTAAAAGTTCCTTGCAATGGAAGATTAATTGGTGTTGATGTGTTTATAAATGGGCTAGGTTTTTCCACTTTAATAAACGGACCACCGTAAATAAATTCTGGTTTCGTACTTTCGTCTTCATCAATTACATTTTTATCACTAGCTACACTCGTTTTTGATGGTGCCCGAGAACCCACTTTTTGTTGACTCATTTTTTTGATTTCAATTTATTTCATGACAGTAATTTTTTAAAATTTTATGTGTAAAACACGACAGGAATAATTTTGCTTTATTTTTTTTGAACTGACGTTCTTAATGACATTTCGCCAAAGGGAAGTAGGAAGTGACAGTGACGTTTACAATCAGTTTACAGATACTGTTCTGTAAAACTATGCCACTGAAATATTAAGATTTTTTTAAACAAATGTGAAATTGATAAGTTTTTAAGTTCTTTTATACCAGTTTTGAAAAATATGATAATTTACATACATATGTTCATAAAAGTTTTGCGTGATTATAAATTTTAATATATCGACTGTCTTATCACTAACTGTATTTAGAAACTGACTTCAAATGTTCGGAAATACCGAATATAGAGATTCTTTTAAAAATAAAACATTACATAAATCTTTAATTACACAATTTAACGTAAGAGAAATAATAAAAAAAAAAAACATAATATAATTAAAAATATGTTTAAAACTTACATTCCAAATATTCCACACATTTCTACATTACGAGGTGTTACGATTCGCATTACAGGCAAATTCTCAGTATCTATATACCAGTCGTAGGCCGGCATGATTAAATACACTTTGGTCCTTTTAATTAAAATAAATAATCACTTATCTTCCAACACACGTGCAAGAAAACAGTTAAGAAATAAAATTCAATGACCCTGGGATCGTACTAAATATAGCAAACTGCGTAGCTTCTATTCCCGTACAGAGTTTTAGAATATTGATTTTCATAGTACTAAATGAGGTTAAAGCATCAATTAATCTATTTTATTACAATTTAATGGCGTTTTTAACTGTGGTAGACGTCAGTCACTATAACATATGTTGCACGATTTAGTTGATTTGCCTGGTGCAATACCACGACCACACAGAAGACAGGTGGAAGAAATTCCGCGTTTCGTCTGATGAGTGTGTGCCGGACTTCAAATTTCAGTCCCGTTCCCTTTTCTGATAATAAAGGATGAGAAGAGAAAGGGGATTTGACGGAGATGCATAGGATGGGGAAATATCCTCTTTCTGTGCGCCGGGGACCACTACAGTTGTAGATGTCTATGGGCAGTGATCGTTTTGCTATTTCGGCGAATTAAGGTGCCCGCTCGCTCGTTTGCCACCTCATGACATATAAAAGGGTCTTGACAGACAGACGGACAAATAACAAAGTGATCCTACAAGGGTTCCGCTTTTTTCCTTTCGAGGTAGGGAACCTTAAATTATGTCATATAACCAAAGAAATAAAAAAGTAAATATAATTCAAATAAATATATTTAGAAAATTACAATTCGCTTCCGTGAAGCGTTAAATACAAAAAGTACCCAACGTACTTACCTGTTCTACAACAGTTTTTTTAAAACATTAATAAAAAAACATAAAAATTATATCAAAAAACATGCAAATTACCAACAAATACATCTTATATTTGTTGCATATACGTAAGTTTTTATTGTCAAAAAAAACCTAAGTAAAACATTTTTTTTTCCAAAGTAAATGAGTCCGTATTTATTTAGAGAGGTGTTTCATGCAGTAAAAACTTAATAAAAGTACAATAAAAACTTATAACTAAATAATTTAATTAAAAAATCGTCGTTAATTTCATTAAATTCGACAATAAAGGTAATAGCGCACTCGTCCACCTGTCATACACCTGCCTTGGAATTGGTGCAGGCCTAACAAATAGAGCAGGATAAAGATATTAAAATTAACAAAACGATAAGTACATCTCGCTTGCGCAGATTGGCCTTGACTTGATTGAACTGTTTGGCGGCAAATGAACGCAGTTAGATGTAAAGTTGACAAGTGAGCTATAACATTAAACAATATCAAATATCAGTAAACATTTTTCGTATTAAAACTATCAAAAACAGTTTATAGTGTGTTAATATTGACTTTGTAGTCAACTTTTTTTTAAAATTCTGAATATGAATACCTTTACTGTAAACAAAGCTACAGAAATACTCGAACATAAAAATAATTTCATGTCTTACTTAAAAAAAAATCTGAGATAGCAGTAGTTTTTTAAAGATGTAAAAAAAAAATCATACAAATTTTTTTTTAATTTTTTTTCAAAATAATCAACCTTTTAAAGAATCAACTGCATACATTTTACTATCCTACATCACACATCAAAAAATATAATAATCACATATTAAAAATAATTAAAAACAAAAATCTTTTTTTAAAAAAAAAAAAACTAAACCAAAAATTGTTATTATATATTAATTTAAATATATTCTTAAAATTAAAAACCTAATCTCTAATCAATATAGTACATATACACAGACTAACTGTGATTTCCTGACATCAAAATCTCTGTATAAAATCATCCCAATCTATCATATTTGACAAAACAGAGATAATATGTTTGAACAGGGATTTCAAACACGTAAACCAACGGTAAATGCGTTTTGGTTTAACTTTGGGTCAAAATTTTTTGGAATTCCTTTAATTAAAAAATAAAAAACTAATTACACATATGTATAGTCATAATTTTACCAAACTGCGTTGAGGCAACCATTATTATTATATAAAAAAAACTTATAAAATCTATAAAAAATGTGATTTGTGTCATTGTTTTCGTCAAATTATATATATTTTTCATAATTCTCTTTTCGTAATTATTCCGAAACAAAAAAAAATAAGAGCAAAAAATATAAAAAAATGTGATTATTGATCTGTGTCATAGTTTTCGTCAGGATAAAATGTCTAGATTTTATACTCTTATTGCTATGGTCATTGGAAAAACACAAAAAATTAATAAACAAAAAAAAAAGATTTAAAAACTTGTAGTCAAAATTATTCTTAAGTTTTTTAAAAATTCTATTATAAACACAAATCCAAAAAAAAGAATAAAAAAATTATAAAGCTATTTCAGTATTCGTCAATATTGGTTTCTGTACCTAAGTTTAAGTCAAATTGTAAAATATAAAAAAAAATGGTAATTATTAATATGAACATATCAGTTTTCGTCAAAATTATTAGTATATTACTTTCATGATTTTCTACAATAGGCATTTACTTAAAAATAAAATAAAAAAAAACAAAAAAAAAAACCATATTGGCAACGTTTTACCTAAATAATTAAAAACAAATAAAATGGCCATTTAAATACCCGTTTTCATATTAAAATTCAGATCATAATAAAAATTCAAACACATAAACAAAAACAAAAAAGCAGAGATTGACTGCAACATAGTACATACATGGACCGACAAGGACATATGACAAGAGTTTCTGACACAAAAAACTGCATAGAATATATCATTATCCCTGTCTATCATCTTGGATAAAAAGGAGATGCCAACATATAGAACTGAATAACTCATAGATAATAATGTAATACATATAAAAACTTTAAAATAATTTCAATGAAATTAACTTTTAAAATAAATGTTGTCAACCCCTGCTTATGTTATAAAATCTTAAAACATCTTAAATTTCTTGTAATACATAAATTTAAGTTTCTTATTTCTAATCCATGTTAACTATTTATCAAAATATTGAACAGACAACGCAGTTACTACTAAAAAAAATGTGCTTTAACTTAACCACTTTACTTAGCCAGTCTTTTAGTTGAAAACAGCTTAGTAACTCATATATTTAGTAATATTAATAATACTATTTAGTAACCTTTTAATATGGCAACACATATTTCAAAACTTCTATATATATGTACTTTAGCAATTAAAAATAAAAAACAAAATACTTATTATTAAACATCATCATCAGCTCATTATACATCACCATCGAGGGGCTCGTAGGATACCCTAAGTTAAGGGTGATGTTACACATGCTTTGCAATAAAATGCTTAATAAAAAAATTGACATCCTATGAATTTTGGATTCATATATATTTTCATATCTATCATTTTTATCGATAAAATGAAGAATAAATTATGTATCTGCAGAAAAAATCTCATACTAATTTATTACTTATCTTAATAACGTCTCTTTCCGTTGCTCTTAATTCTTGTATTTTTCAATGTAATTGTTGTAGATTCAAGACGTTTGCCATTGTTACTGGTTCTGAGTAAGGGACAGTATGTACTGGAAACACAAAATAGTATTTTATAATATTACTAGCTGTCTTGTGGGGAATTAAAAAAATTAGTGGTGTGTTCTTCCAGACTATTTTCTACATCTATGTCAAATTTTATTGAGATCCATTGAGCTGTTCATGAGATATCTTCTAACAAACATCCATCCATCCAAACATACATAAACACAACAGTTAAAAATATCTACAGCAGTCAATGTTTTAAATGTCAAATAAATTTGACAATAAGCACTTATTAATTTTCTAAATCATAAATTTAAAAAAAATAATTCACAATATCTGTCTTCCATGTTTTCCTTTACTTCAAAATTAATAAAGTTATATTTTTTAGCCCATCATGAATGTCTATTTCACCCTAATATACTCTAAACTAAAACCTAGCAACACCACTGCATACTCTATGGATATCCATGGAATTAAGGATCTGTGGTATCTATGGGCGGGGATGGCCAAAATCCTTCTTACTAAAATAAATATTTCAAAACAGCTTTCCCACAATTAGTTAAAAACAAACTTAATAAATAGCCTAAGTGTTCTTCTAGACTATGTTCTACATCTATGCCAAATTTCAGTGAGATCCATGCAGTTCTGAAGATACCTTCAAACATCCATCCATCTTAATATTCACATTTATAACATGAGTAAGAAGTAATACTTACATGGTATGTGCATAGTCCCCCGTCGCTCCACAAGCTGAGCAAACATGCGACCTCAAAATAGGACAAGTCACTATATGTTTTTTCCCAATTCTCTCTTTTACACAATGTGTCATATAAACTAATGGCGTTTCACCATTTCTTCGGCAGAATTTACACATTTTCTGAGCTGCAATTTCATCAATCCTTGAAGTACCAGCCCCAGAATATCCTGGTGGTGTGAAATCTGACATTTGTGGTATCATATAACTTTGAGTATAATTGGGTATCAACATAGGTGAAGATGGTGTAAAATCCATCATACTTGATGACAAAGAAAAGTTTGAACTGGTTGATAGATTAGATCTCATCGGTGAAAAATTAGAAGCGGTCGAAAGGTTAGAATCGATTGTCGAAAAGGTAGCTGCCGTAGGGTTAGATTTGACGGGTGAAAAGTTAGCAGCCGAGTTAGATTTGCCTGGTGAAAAAGTAGCAGACGAAAGGTTAGATTTGACCGGTGAAATGGATGTTATAGGTGAGAGATTTGGTGTTGGAGCCATAAAGGATGTAGTCGGTGAAGATTTGTCTGTTGGAAACAACTCATAATTACGAATTTGATTGGTTTGATCAAATGTAGTAGATTTAGGAAGAGCAAAATCATCAATCCAGGAATTAGATATTAAAAATTCTTTATCATTGTTTTTGTTAGGTAAAGGTCTAGAATATTCTGTATTACCTAATATCTTTCTACCTACAATTGGCCGCTGAGGCCGGATTCCTAAAGTATGTAGACTTTGTGTGGGAGTCTCCAAAGATTGGAGACTATAAAGGTCTGAAGTTCTTTGGAATGATGTGAAAAGATCAGGATAAGATTCTGGTGATGTGGAATCTGCTGAACTTGAAGATCTGTTGGCGAATGTTGAATGAATTGGTGATTGTGATGAAGTACTGTGGAATACATTTGCTGGTTGCAGATCTGGAAAACAAACCATTTTATTAATATTTTAATGATACTAATAGACAGATATAACAGATTTGCCACAACCTTTGTCTTTTAAACAAGTGAACTATGCTAGATGTTTAGTTTATTTTAATGAAGTAACGCCAAAGGGAATATTATGGAGTAAAAACTATAACATTTAAAATAGCTTAATTCTCAATACAAATGCACTTAAATATCTAAAATGAGGTACTTATGATATTCAAGTATTTATATATATAGTTAAATTGTTATTTATTTTCTAAGTAAATTTAAAAACACTATCCACAAATTTTAATTAAAATGTTGCTTTTGTTTGCAAAATACATTTGAAGTGACATAAAAATTAAATTGGAAAAATAATTGATTTATCCGTCCTTTTTATAACAACAACAATTTTAATCACTTTAGTAAATCATTTGAAAAAGATCTTACCATTTTCATTTGTTTTCGGAAATAAACGATTAATTTCGGCCATATAATCCATCATGTTATTTTTTGAAGGAAACATAATCCTGCAATATCACGAAATCATCATAAAAAAACTCTACTAATTTAAACTGAATTATGACAATAGGTAATAATATTTAAAAATATTGATCAGCCATCTTTCTTTACAATTTACGATAGCACTTCAAGTCAATTATAAAACTTTTAAATAATCGCGTAAAATCAACTACAGAATTAATTGTATCCAAATTCATATAAAAATAAGCGAATTTTTAAATTGTAAATATAAACTCATTAATGATTTTAAAAAAAGAATTCCTGTTTATTTTGATCGAAAAAAGTCTTTTAAAGTGTAAAAAAAAGATGAAGATACGACGTTTGAAATTATATTTTTTTTTAATTAAAATAACTCTACAATTGTGTCTTTCATCTGAAAATCATCTAATAACAATTTATTTACGGAGAATAAAATTAATAATCGAAATTCCGATAAATATTTAATAAACAAATTTTAATAACAGAAGAAGTGTACTAATTAACAATTGCGAAGTTTTACATGTGCATTTATATTTTTTGAAAGAAAAAAATGTTTTTATATTAAAAATTGAATTACCATTAGTTTTATAATCTGGGTAAATTAAAGAATACCTAAATCAATATGAGAAAATACAGAAAAGTTTTAATAAAAGAAAAATATTTACCGATTTAGCAATAATTTTAACAACAAACTGGCGACAACCTCCCCGTAGTAAATTTAGGCGAATAATAACAGTTTTGGGCGATGTCGGATATATTTTTCGATGAGTTCAAAGGATGCCGCAACCTCTTATGTTCAGTTGTTACTACAGACTGTGGTGCCAAGTTCAATTTAAGTACACACTAAATTAATAAAAACTAAGTAAAACAGAGATATTAAAAATGATCTTAATATTTTAGTCGCAAAGGAATTACAGAAACGTGGTGTGGAATTATTCATATAATTAATAAAGTCTAGAAATATCTAGGAAATGCCTGTTCAATTATACCAACTCTTAACGAACTTTTAATTTACGTATAATACTAATTTTTATAACTGTATTTACCTAAGTATTATATAAAGTAATTATTTATTTTATATATTTATATAAATGTCTGTGTTTTATTTCTTTGAAAGTGAAGATACGTTTTTGCTAAAAGAAAGCCGACTTTGTTTGTAAACACCGATCCAACCAATCACGGCACGTGTAACTGTTTTAGTAAATTCATCAATAGATGGCGCTACACCACCAAGTGTTAGACTTCGAATACTTAGTTTAGAATTTAGGCATTTTGAAAGTTCTCTAACAATGAAAAATAAGTACGGCGAATGATGTCTACTATTACAAATAAAAATACTTTAAATAATACCTATTAGTAAAATCCCAAATTGTTATGTAGATTTCCGTTTAATGCATAAAAAAATAAAGTTATATGTGTAAAGTAAAAAAATGTACATACATTATACTACAGAATACTATAAAATTAAACTAATAACACCACGGCTTCAACAAAATATTTGAGTAGCTTTTTTCAAATTTTAAAAATTTGTTAACACTATTCGATACTAGATGGCACTCACAAGCGATAAATGAACTGTTGTAAAATAAATTCAGCTTTAGATCTCTTTCCTTTGGATTCATCGGCAAACTATTTTATTAGTAGATTCGTTTTAGAAGTCAATATAAATACTGAAGTAAATCAATACGAGTACCTGAACATCCACAAATCTTTAACTATTCATTCTTAACAGTTCGTTATAATTTCAATATATATATTCACCAGGAAGATTCACAAGTTTCGAGATAGTTATATTCACATAGCGATGGATATCGTGAAGGATTTATATGTGAAAATGGATTGCAGATAATTTTAGAATGGATTGTAAGAGTCACGTAACTAGATCATCTATGATTTAAGATAGTTCATCCGCGTAATGGTAACTAAATAATTGTTAACATTCAAAAAAGTAAAAAAAAAACATAAGCAGCACTCTGCATGCAGCCGTTCTGGAGATACCTTCTAACAAATATCTAAACATTCGCATTTATAATATTAGTAAGATGTAGGAATGTGGAAGAAATGAACGTTTTTTCGGGTTACAGTGAGACAAAACACGATATTCAAAGAGTCTAATGCTGTCTCATTCTATTGATCTCTCTGTCCTTTTCCCACTCTATGTCGACACCATTTTGTTCACAGATCTATTTATTGTTCATAATTTTAGTTATAACCTTTTTAATTATAACCTTTTTTCAAAGTCCATCCATCCTAAAGGCTGATACTTTTTTAAACCATTTGTTTGGATTTACATTTTCTACAGCTCTATTTGTTCTATCTATATTACCTTACTCTATGCATCTCTTGTTACGAAGCAAGGAAGTGGAGCAAGGTCATGGCAGTTATAAGCTTATTGTCCGACCATCTTTACGTTTGGTCCAAGCAACGAATGAATGCTTTTTAGCAACGATATTATTGATTGTTTTGTCGGATTGAACGTAATTCTATGTCTGTTATATTGTGAAATACTGTTACCTGAACGGTTTATTTATTTGAAGTAATTCTAACTGTTGTGGTTATTAATGAATAGCGATGAATGTATATAGATGAAAACAAGATTCGCGATGATTTTTGTAAAACAGCTGTTTAATGTTTAAAATTATTTTTAAACATTAGTAGCAGTTTATTGCGTTTTGTCGCGTTTTTCAATGTAGATATTTTTTTAATTATTTTAAAAAATTAAACAACTGTGTTACATATTAAATTATTCAAACTTTCGTGAGACATTATACTAAACTGATATATAAACACGGCTAAACACTCACGTATATACGTCCGGTGGCGGCACCGACTAGTTTCGAGCCCATTCGAGCCACACACAGCGAGCGACGGGCCGCGTCCGCGAAATAATACCAGTGCCACTTATCCTGATGAAGGACCCCCGATGGGCTCGAAACTAGTCGGTGCCGCCACCGGACGAATATACGTGAGTGTTTAGCCGTGTTTATATATCAACTGTGTTACAGTTAGTGATTAAGGCTGTAATTTTTTAACTTGTACCACACGTGAATTGTTGATTGTCTTCGTATTGTATTGACGATATCCCGTACATTGAACATGTCTTGTAATTATTGTTTGAAAATAAAGAAAGCAAGGTCAATAGCTTACGATATTGCAATATTTGATAAATGTACCTTTATCTTAAAATACTAATCGATGTTATTGAGAAATAGTTACTAAGTAAATCTATATCTATATATATAAAATAAAGTCGTGTTAGTTACACTATTTATAACTCAAGTACGGCTTTACCGATATGCCTGAAAATTGGTGAGGAGATAGCTTAGGGCCAGGAGACGGACACAGGATACTATTTATTCATTTGTTAATTTTTTTTTTCGAATTTATGCCTTGAAGAGCTGCTTTTTATTTAATTTACTTATATTATAAATGCGAATGTTTAGATGGAGGATGGGTGGGCTACACTAATTATGGTTTTTATATATCCATGCGGACAGTCGCGGGCAACAGCTAGTTATTACTAAAACTAATGTTTGATTAAGATAGTCTGAATTGGCGATGTTTCAAGCATGTGATTAGCATATTCGACCTTTTTTTCCAGAGAGGAATGCTTTATGCATATTCCGCGCCCCGGGGGGGACGCGGTAGTTACACATACATTGGATTCTCTTCTGAATGGGAAGCATGCCCATTAAACCCCTCTGTACCCCCTATCATGACGAGGCCACGGGTACGCTTGCGCTTTCGTCCGCGACCTCGCCTGAACATATTCTCCCTTCTCCTAAGTGGTGAATCGGCTGAAAAAGTGTAAACGTTGTAATCAATCGGAAATATTTTTATTTAATATCTAGACTAATTTAATATTAAACTAAAGTTAGTCGCGAGGCTTTAACTAGGTACTGTCTTATTAAAAGTATTTAAGTTGTCCCCTAAGCGTAGTTATAGTATTAGCAAATGAACTAAGGAAGCAAATAAAGGATCAACCTAACTGTGACAGTGATTTAGCGGAGATTCGCCCACTATACTTGGTCATGGTAATAAAGTTAACGAGTCTACGCAACACACGATCTGAATACTACAATCTATCTCGGTGTTGCAAGCTTTAAACCTAATTCTGTTTTGGGTACAATCTGTATTAAACATCGGTGTAGCCATATATTGCGGTTGGAAGAGCCTTATGTGGTCATATTTTAGATTGCTTATATTGTATCCCAAACATGTTTTGATAATTTAATTAAAAGAGAATCCCTTATTTTAAAAAGAAAGGATGGGAAGGGGAAGTGGATTTAATGGAGGAAAGACTAATCTTATATATATAATTCTCGTGTCACAATTTTCGTTCCCATACTCGTCTGAAACTGCTTGACCGATTCTAATGAAATTTTGTGAGCATATTGAGTAGGTCTGAGAATCGGCCAACATCTATTTTTAATCCCGCGCGGACGGAGTCGCGGGCGACAGCTAGTAGGATATAATATTCTCTTTCAGTGCGTGTCCTTCTCCGTCGATTAAAGGTTATGAACGAATCTGATTTTCTTGATTTTTATCTTTTTTTTAAATTACTAAGTACTACTGTGGTTAAATGATTCTGTCTATAAAGATAAAATCCAACCGAAGCCACCTCAAAGACGTCCGTATGTCAGGTACTCAAATTTTCTTAGATGTATAGGCTACCAATGTTTTTCTTCCAAAATATAGCCGCGCGATCCGCACGGCTCGCCCTCAGCCAGCGCCAAAGTCTGCTGCGAGGCCCGCGCCAACACTTCGGCCGGCACCAGCACTTCGGCCGTGGCTAGCTCGCTGGCGCCCTTCGCCGCGCGCAGCTCCCTTTCCAACCTCTGAGCCAGCGCCGTCTCCGTCGGAACCGGCACCGGTGCTTCCCGCCATGTTGGCCCATTCCATGCTATTCCAAAAACAAATTGGTACATGCAGGGTTCCCGGGATTCGAGCCTGAACTAGTAGATTTCATGTCCTAACTTGCTGATACGACCTAGATATGTTATCACTTGAATTCCATACGTGTAATACGGACATATTCCACTGACAGTTCCCAGGTTTACGTTCCGTTTTACTCAAGGATTTTCACATCAACACACGATATTGTTCTACAATAAGAATTTATTACCGCATATGTTTAAATGGTCATTAAATGAGCTCTTAAGTGTAGATTTACTGTAGCACTAAGAGTCTAAGAAGAGCTCCATCGTAATCATCAGCTTCATGTACGTCCACCGTGACTAGGTCATAGTCAACCACGCTGGTCCACTGCGGGTTGACTACACACATATATTTGTATTTAGAAGATATGTGCATCATCACGATGTTTTCCTTCATTGTAAGAATGTCGGAATGTACATATGTATCTCGAAAATGTCATTGGTAAATGATAGGATTCGCACCCAGGTTAATACCCAGGAACCCAGGATAACAAGTGAACTGGTGACTATATAAATATGTCTGTATATTCCAGTATCGTGTTATCGATATTAAGTTATGGAACATAGAGGTCCGTCTATTTTATGTTTTGTTTTAAAGCAGTCTTTCCCAAAGTGTGCGATAACGCCCCCTTGTGTGCGCTGCAGGTTTCAAGTTGCGGGTTATAGTAAAAGTTTCCTTTAGAATCCTCCGTTAATATACATATATAGGTCACAATAATTAATTAATTTAATTTGAAGTTATAATGGTTTTTAAATATGTGAAAATATGGGGGCGCTAAAAAAATATTTATTCTCAAAGTGGGCAGTAGACAAAATAAGTTTGGGAACCACTGTTTTAAAGAATGTACAATGTTTTGTCATACATGTTTGGACAATGGTTATTAATATTACAATCACCTTTATTTCTTGGCAGCTAAAAAAAATTGTTTACGTCAAAAAACTAGTAAGGACAATTAACTTTTCTATCGCATAATCTGCAATAATTATTACGCGCTTTAAATAAATAGTACCTGGATGACCGATGAGCTTTGCTCGGTATTTTTTTTTAAATTGTGGTTTTTGGAAATTATATTTAAGTACGAATTACTAAAAAAAGGATGAAATATGAATAATATTTTTCGATCTTACCGATAGAAAAAGTTAAGTTTATGTTTAAGTTGATTATCGATAAAACACGAATAAAATGACATTTTCTAAAAATGATTCCTAGCTAGATCTATTTATCGCCCCCGAAACACCCTATATACTAAATTTTATGAAAATCGTTGGAGCCGATTCCGAGATTACAATTATATATACAAGAATTGCTCATTTAAAGATATAAGATGTTGAAGATATGATTTTCAACACCTTATATTATTAACTCCCTTACTAACTATGAGTGATAATTAGCGATTTGTTGCTTTAGTTTGATTTAAAATTACGTAACAGATTATCTCTAATGAGATGCAATATTGTGAAGTCCTGAGATGCGCCCTCTCTCGGTCTGCGTATAAAAACAAAACATTTTACAATCTGTGGCGCAGTTGGCGGCTGAATGTTGTGTTTGCTCTACATTTTGACATTTAGTGCGTTTTCCCGCGTTTTTTATAGTGGATTTTTTATGAAGGTGAGTTAAAGATAATATTTTATTTAAGGTTATAAAATAAGTAGAAAGTTTATATACTTTTGAAATTAATATAAGTATTTTTAATAAGTTTAAATTCATAGAATTAATTAAAGATTTTTACGTATTTCTTTAAAACAAAATTTAAATGTATTAACTAAATTGCTAAAAAAATTATTAACTTAAAAACATTAAATAGGTATTCAATAAAAAAATTGACACCGTTTTAAGTCCTTGCAATTTCTTATATTGTCACATTGATTTTCTGCATCAGTGGAAACGTACCCTTAACCTACTGTCTGCATAATTTTACACATTTAGTGTAAATAACAAGCAATTAATTGTCTGTAGGTTTCAATAAATTTGCTATTCGTTGTGTTTTTATATATACGTTTCGTATATTTGTTAAAACATTTAAGAAAAAGATTTTTAGGTTAGGTTAATTTATAAATTACTAGCTGTCGCCCGCGACTCCCTCCGCGTGGATATATAAAAAAAACTTAATTAGTGTAGCCTATGTGTTCTTTCAGACTATGTTGTATACGTATGCCAAATTTAATCGAGATCCGTTCAGCCGTTCTAGATATATCTTCAAACACCCATCCATCCATCCACATCACATCCATCTAAGCATTCGCATTTTTAATATTAGTAAGTCAAAAAAAAGCAGTTCTTCAAAATAAAAATAAAAAACTGAATAAATAGTATCCTATGTCCGTCTCCTGGGTCTAAGCTACTTCTTCACCAATTTTCAGGTATATCGGTAAAGCCGTTCTGGAGTTATAAATAGTGTAACTAACATGACTATCTTTTATATATATATATATAGACAATTTTAACACTTTAATTAAATAATGAATTTGTTAATAAATTAATGTATTTTTTTTTTAATAAATAAACACATGTTTTAAAATGTAGATTATAAAACAATGGCGCCATTTAAAATGTGCCTGCTGTCAGTCGTTCCCACGGAACAAAGTATAGATAAGAATCAACAAAGAAATTTCTTCTCGCGTCAACAATTATATTGTTATCTAATTTGTAGATGGATACGGTTTCTAAAGTGAAATGTTATTTACATTTACACCAAAATTCTGTCCACAGAATATATAACTCTTATCCACTTTTTTTTTATATCATAAGGTGACAAACGAGCGAGCGGCCACCTGAAATAGCTGAAATAGCGAAGTGACCGTTGCCCATAGACATACGCAATTGCATATGCGTTGCATACCTTTAATCGTCGGAGGAGAGTATGCTCAGAAAGAAAATATTTTCCCCTTCCATGCATCTTCTCATTCGGAAAGTCCACTTACACTTCCCATCCTTATAAGAAAAATGGTGGAAAGGGAAAGAGGACTAAATTAGGCCGCTGGACACTCATCAGACGAAACGCGGAATTGCTTCCACTTGACGCCTGTCTTCTGTGTGGTCTTTCACCGGGCGAGCCGGGACTATTCGTGCGTAGATGTTAAAGCGGGCTCTACCACTTTTTAAATCTTTACTAGTAACTAACCCCAAACACCATTTTTAAAGAAAACTATCACAAAGTCAGTTGCTAAAATTCTATTGAATAACACAGAGATTGTCAATTATTTTTCTCGTAGACGATTTTCAAAATGTTACGAATTTTGTTACACAGGGCCGGCGTTAGTTTGCGCAGTTATGCGGCCACCTAAGACGCTGGATAGAAAGCGACAAATCTCTGTGAATTACAGTCTCACATAACCCTATTAAACCATGCATGGTAAAAAAGTAGGGTTCCGTACAGATTATTATTATTTAGCTAAAACTGTTGGTAACCATTGATTTTATTTCCCGCCATCGTATATCATCGTATCGTATTGACCACTTTGTGAATTTCTGTGTTAACCCAACGTATGTTTTACATCGTAAATTAAAGTAAGAACTAAATGATTGTCTGTTTACAGATTGAAAGAAGAGAAACCATGTTTATCAAAGTAAGTTTATTCATGCAGCTATCGTTTTAAATGCAATAATGTGTAAAAGATACATTGAACAAAAGAAATTTATAAAAACTGTCCGAATTTCCGCCTGCGCGGTTTAAAAAAACTTAATTAGTAGCCTATGTGTTCTTCCGAACTATGTTCTACATATATGCCAAATTTTATCGAGATCCATGCAGCCGTTTCAGATACCTTCTTACAAACATCAATCCATCCATCCATACATCTGTATTATCCAAAATTACTACGATTCTCTCGTTTAACTAGGCAGAACGAATTGTCAACAATCATGTATTCATCAAATTATTATTGTTTTTTAAATTCAGTGAAAATGGAGTCTACGTACACGTAACAGCAGTTTTGTTTTTACTTTTTCCAGATCGTGGCTTTGTTATTAGTGAGTTTAGTGTGTGGCGAACCTCCCGTTCAGAATTACAATTATAACCCAACCAGTGGATTCGGTCTGGCTAACAGTTATTTACCACCGAGAACGGGTAAGAAATAAATTTAAGCCCATAACTAACTTTAGTGTAACTTTGTAAGACTCCAGATGAATGATTTGAGTTGATATATCAAGCCTCTGATAACACCGCATACTACCTTTAACTTAGGGTAGGCTCTGAGCCTCTCAGTGGAGACGTATAGTGAGCTGATGATGCACACCATCAGACGAAACGCGGAATAGCTTACACTTGACGCCTGTCTTCTGTGTGGTCGTGGTATTGCACTGGACGAGGTAAATTCGTGCAACAGAGTGTTGTTACTGGAATCTTCCTCTGTCTTGAGGTATAACTATGGTATTTTACTATACATAAGCATGGCTCCAGTGGCGCAATTGGTTAGCGCACGGTACTTATAAGACAGTGTCCGAGCTATGCCGGGGTTGTGAGTTCGAGCCTCACCTGGAGCAAATATTTTGTTCATCAAACCTAAAGGCCTATAAGGGCCCTTTTAGGCACAATTAATTCCATTGGAGTGGTTGGCGCAATACCAATAAAAACTGTCTTTACGTGTAGGTAACCCTAGTAATAGTTACCTACCAAGCGACCACAGTCCGGCCTCTGGTCCGGATTACAGTCAAAGTTCCGGCTCCAGTCCGGACTATGGTCACGGACATGATCATGAAGTGGTAAGTAGCAATTTTGACATCTTATAATGATTTTCCAATTACGAAATAATTGAACACGTATTGTCGTCTTAATCTTCTTATATAGGGTGTCCCAAAAGGTTACGTACATAGGAAGGGGGACGATAGGGGTGGTCACAAGGGTCACCAGAAAATAAATAAAAATGCCCCTCTGGGTATTAAAAAAATATATGGCATTTTTTTAAAACTTAAAAATTTTACACCTTATGGGGCAATTTTGTAACCGATGACCTACAAAGATTGCTATATTAAAAAAAGCTATTATGTTATCGTCAATAACCCTTTATCAATATGAAATAAAAAAAAACAATACAACTAACAAAGATTTTAATAGAAAATTAAAATTGCCCCAGAAGGTGTAAAATTTTTAAGTTTTTAAAAAATGACATTTATTTTTTTTAATACCCAGAGGGGAATTTTTATTTTATTTTTCTGGTGACCCTTGTGACCACCCCTATCATCCCCCTTCCTATGCACGTAACCTTTTGGGACACCCTGTTTATAAAATTCTCGTGTCACAATTTTCGTTCCCATATTCCTCCGAAACAGCTTGACCGATGCTCATGAAATTTTGTGAGCGTATTGAGTAGGTCTGAGAATCGGCTACTATGTATTTTTATCCCGTATCTATTATTTATAGTATCCCGAGCGGACGGAGTCGCGGGCGACAGCTAGTATTTTGTATAAGTATAGTGTGTCTATTTAAGATAGATTGTTTGACAATTCATTTGACAATTCACTAGGGATGGGTTGATTAAAATTGGTTATGAAAATTTTAGATTATCGATGGTTGTTCACATAGGAACTTGCCATCGAAAAATTTTGGTTGATTATTGTTTTTGATTTACGATAAAAATTTAATTGTTTTTTATGTCAACATTATTCAAAACTATATAGCAAAATATTATACCAAAAATTTATTATTTTTAATGTTTTTTTTAAGGGAGACATAGCTAAATATCTTTAATAAATTTAAATAGTAATAAGATACCTAGCTATTGTATTTATTTATTCGATTAATATCATCAGAAACCGATTCTCGATAGTTCATAGTTGTTAGTAATATACGTACGGTCGACACTATGACTACCGTCTATTAAGTACAACATTAACTGTCATACAAAATTAATTCGATAATTTATAGACGTCAGTTGTCAAAATAATCTTAAAGACACACTATTAAATATTTCATTCATTCATTCAAAAAAAAAATATACAGTATAATTGAACCTCCTTTTTGAAGTCGATTAAAAAGACAACGTTCTTTATTCAAATAATTTTATTAAAAAAAAAATCATGTCTTGTTACGTTGTTTCCTCGATAGATTATACAAAACATACGATGTTATAGGTTTTAATCTGTAAATATTATCATCCGACGAATAAAAGATGTCACCGTAATCACCGAATATAATACTACGAGGATGAAAATTTAAATCTGCAACTTTATACGCCGTACCATTGTAGCAATTTATTTCTAGTATTCCTTCATCTGTGATGGCATATGTTTTATTATTGTCAATAATAAAATTATACGCTATAGTTATATCTTTGTTTTTAACAATTTCATTACCATTTAAAGCACAAAAAACCCCACACATGGTCACAAAATGTACATTTCTTTCTCCATCAATATCGAAATTAATCACAGTTTTTGCGTTACCCAATTTACTTACTTTTTTACCAAACACTTTATATATCATATGATTATTTCCATCTATTATATACATTTGATTATATCTTATAACTATTTTAAACACGTCGACATTATACAGACCTATATTTTCAGCTGAATTTGTTAATGGATCGTAAACATATAAACCATCATTTGATCCAAAATATATTTGTCCAGTTTCTGAATCGATTGCCGTTGCCTTATTCCTTTTTATTCCTTTTATTTTTTTACTTTCTTTAGTTATAATATTAATATAAGCTCTTCCAGAGTTTAATAATTCATCATCCATGTACATGAAGAATAGATTTCTTGTTGCTGAATCGTACGCCAATTCAATAGGATCTTTGTATTCGTTTGTTAACAATTCTTTCTTATATAATCTTGGTCCGATTTTTTCTATAGGTCCATCTGTTAAATATATCACTAATTTTGCTTCTAAAAACACTATTAATAAGTTAATAATTATTATATATATCATGTTTGTACGTGTTAGATTTTACGCGTTTATGTGACGACTGTTATTGGTTTGGTTTTGTTATCATAAGGTTACTATAACTGATTATTTGTTGAAAGGTTAGATGGAATAATGTTGTTTCATTACGTATATATATAATTAGCTGTCGCCCGCGACTCCGTCCGCGTGGATAACCATCCAATTAAACATTCGCATTTATAATATTAGTAACAAAAAAAATTAATAAATAGTATATCCCATGTCCGTCTCATGGCTCTAAGCTACCTCCTCATCAATTTTCAGCCATATCGGTAAAGCCGTTCTTGAGTTATAAATAGTGTAACTAACACGACTTTCTTTTATATATATATATACTAGCGGACCCGACAGACATTGTCCTGTCTACACGTCTTCAATTCGAATATTATTTAAAATTTGACACTGCGATAGTAGCGCCGTCTGTCGGCTCCAATGTAAAACATTCCAAAATCAACAACTACTAATAAATTAAAAATTAATTAAAAAAACATTGTCCAGCGGACAAAATTGTGAATCTAAACCATTCCCAGATCTTCTTGAACACACACAAAAAATTTCATCAAAATCGGTCCAGTCGTTTGAGAGAAGTTCAGTGACATACACACTCACAGAAGAATTATATATATAAAGATAAAGATAAGATTAATAAAATTGGAGTGTCTATATTACGTACATCGGAAAAAAATCATAGATTTATATTTATTAGCTTTATATGCGGAATTAAAAAAAAACTTTGTAGTCTATGGATTCTTCCTATGTTTTACGTCTATGCAGCGATTCTGAAGATACCTTCTAACAAACATTAATGAATACATCCAAGCATGTTCGCATTTATAATATTAGTAAGGTTTGCGATACTAAAGGATAACATTTTTTGTTTAAATGTTTTGTATGGAAATTCCTGACCTGGACAGGAAAATAGTTGATGTGTGTAAGAGTAACTTAAGCTATGTTTTTTTATTGAAATCATTCTTAAAGTGTTTTAATATTTTCCTTATTGTAAACTAGTTTTAAATGGCGAAACAATTATGTTGAAGTATTGACATCTCTTTCAAACACATCGAAATAATCGAGACAGAAATGTAATTTTCAAATCCGTTTTAGTAGTTCAAAGCTATATTCTCAATTAATTTGATAAAATTATTTTAATAATTTAGCGTCGGTGGCTCAGGAATCAAGCACTTGCCTTGCTATCTGTAGGTCCTGGGTTCGAATCCCGCCATGTACCAATGTGTTTTTCGATTTCCGATTTACATATGTACATTTATCCGACGTTCTTACGGTGAAGGAAAACATCGTGATGCTGCACATATCTGATAACAAATTCAAAGATATGTGTGAAGTCAACCAACCCCCACTTGGACAGCATGGTTGACTATGGCCTAATCACCCTTAACTTAGGGTAGGCTCTGAGCCCCTCGGTGATGATGATGATGATTTTAATTAAAACGCAAAAAACAACGTAGAATCAACATATTTATTCATAATAACAAGTAAACATCACACAAAAAAAATCACAAAATTATAAAAAAAAAAAATACGATAGTTTTTTTTATCAACTGCCACATTTCTTATTCGGTTTAAGATGATAAACAGATGTAGCGTCAGAATAAACAATATTATTATTAGCATCAAAAGCGACACCGAAACCGTCATCAATTTCCAATATATGTTCAAGTAATCCAGTAGCTGTATTTACCTTGTATATACCGTCTTCAAAACAAGCATAAACATAACCATTTTTATCAACAGTTAAACCTCTTACTTTATCACCATTATCTAATTTAATATATAAATATGCATCTTTACTACCTTTTGGTTGACTGTACAATCCCGTTGCATTTGTATAAAACATAACGTCATTATCATCTATAAGGAAATGTATAATTTTCATATCATCTAAATCTTCAAAACGTACAATTTCACCATTCGTTATTGTATATAAAAATTGTGCTGGAAAATCGGAATAATATAAAACATTATCTCTGTAGTATATCTCCCAGATATCACAATCATACGCAATGTATGGTAAAGCCTCATTTTCTGTATAATCATATTTAAAAATGCCTTTAGAACTACCAATGTACGGGATATGATTTATTTGATCCACAGTTTGTACAAAACCGTTTTCAATTCCTTCGATTTCCGAATATTCCTTTGTATAAAGATTGATTTTAACACTTTTAAATACATCGTCTGTTGGCTTTAAACTATAACTGAAGTATAGTATATTAGTACTGTAATCGATTGCTAAAGAATACGGACGATCTAAATTCGTTTTTAATGTTTCTCTTTCATAATCAATTCCATTTATGGTAATACCATCGCAATTTTCTTCTTTGCTTACCGCGGCTTGTATAATAACAAATAGAGATAGAAATATTACTAATTTCATTGTTATCTGAAAAAAAAACACTATTTGTTAATTAAGAAACTCAACTCCATTAAACTTTGGAGAAGAATACAAATGAGACGATGTATTGTCGAATTCAATTGAAAATATAACAAACTATCTATCGCCTGTAACACCGTCTACGTAACTACAAAAAACAATTAGCCTATGTGTTCTTCAAGACTATGTTCTATATGTATGCCTAATTTCATCGAGATCCGTTCAGCCTTTTTGGAGATACATTCAAACAAACATCCATCTAAACACGTATTTATAATATTAGTAAGATATATGTAAACAATATCACCTTTATAATGTAGCTTAAAAACCAAACATGTAATTTAAACACTGAAACTTTCCAAAATTGATTAATCTTACTAATATTATAAATGCTAATGTTTAAATGGATGGATGTTTTAACGTATCTCCATAACGGTTGAACGGATCTCGATAAAATTTATCATACAAATAGAAAATAATCTGGAAGAACACATATACTATATATGTTTTTTAATTATTATAATTAACCAGTAAATTCCTCATTTATATTGAACTTAACATACAAACATACACGTAAAAAATTACCGTTCACAATCCTGATTGAAAACACGACCGGTTTGAATTATAATTCAACGTAGACTGTATTCTTACGGAAATTGAAAAAAATATTATTATTTGTTTGTTATAAATACCTTGATTGTTTAATAATATAAATAATAATTATAATTATAAGAATTTCATATTATTTTATAAAGACAACTGCTTTGTCCTAAGTAATAACTAAAACTGGAATCTGAATAAACACAATTTCAATGTCGTTGAAGATTAATAAAGGTATTGAGTAGTCTTTATAATAAAAAAAATATTTTAGTATTTATTGAATGTTTATACGAACAAAATAAGTTTATAATGTTAGGAAGAATATCCGAAAATGTGGCAGTGTATTGACCCCAACACTGGCGTTATTCCAATAAGGGTGGACACAAACGTCGACACGATACTGTAGTGTCGACGTTTGTGTCCCCTCACTATTCATTCTGACACTGGACCTTGTAACCAAAGCACGTCATTCGCGCCAAAGTATTCTAACAATAACGGATGATAATGTCTAAAAGTAGCTAAAATAAAATTAATGGTTAAAGTATTTAACAAAATACGAACATAATAAGGCTGTAGATTAGAAACTATTTTAATATAATGAAAAATTATTCTCAATTGTTTTATTTTCGACGTTAAAAATTAAAAACAAAAATCAGTACATAAATAAAGCACGCATATAAAAACTAGAAACACTCACGTATATTCGTCCGGTGGCGGCACCGACTAGTTTCGAGACCATCGGGAGACCTTCATCAGGGTGAGTGGGACTGGTATTATTTCGCAGATGATACGTGAGTGTTTATATAAGTTTAAATAAAGCACTGTCTATCTTTATAAGTATAATAGGAATAACTTTAGTGTTAAAGTTTGTAAGCAAAAACTTTACTATGAAAGAATCTCCATTACAATTTCTGTCCCATAACCTGTATCTTATGTTCAAAGTTTATCTCAACAGATACAAGCTGTGAAGTTTCATTAACTTTTTAATAAACAAAAACTATAAGGTACATACATATTTTGATCCGTTTCTTTTATAAAATAGCAGTTTAATTTAGGTCTGGATTTTCTATCAAATCGTTTGTCATTTTTTTTTTGCTAGCACAAAACTTTGACTCTTTTTTTTTTAAACGTTTCATAAATATTTTAGCAATTTTATGGTTAATTAATTATCTAGAAGTGCTATAGCATTTATTAAGTACGAAAAGTGTACATAAAATATATCTCTTGGTTACTATAATGTTATTACACTGATTACAATATTAAGTATTGCAAGTATTAAGTATTGCAAGTATTAAGTATTGTAAGTATTAAGTATTGTAAATATTAAGTATTGTTTGTTCCAGCCCAAGTCATACGAGTTCGGTTACTCAGTAAAGGACTCTCGTTCCGGCAATGACTACGGACGAAGAGAAAAGTCTGATGGCCACGAAGTGCGCGGGGAATACAGGGTGTTCCTTCCGGACGGACGGACGCAGATAGGTAAGTAGCGTGGGTTTACAGTGACACAAGCAAAATTTAAGTGGTAGACGCCAGCAAAACATCTGTTCCACGGGCCTCGCCCGGTGCAATACGGTGGAAGCAATTCCTGGAGGAGGATGCATAGGATTTCTTGCGTCCCCTTCTGTCTATAGGCAGCGGTCACTTCGCTATTTCGGCGAATTCATGTAGCAAAGCTTAATCGTTTGCCAACTTATAAAACTTACATTGGTTTCGGTGATAGTCTACGGTTAAATAAGTCCACTAACCTCTATACATAGACAGGCTATAAGCTATGGTATTTTGTGCCTATTTGATGTTCTCCAATTTGCACCTGATGGTAGCGGTATTTAGGATTCGAATTTCGAACTATGAATAGAGATAGAATTAACTGCCAGTAACAAAAGCCGCGTTTAAAATAACAAAGCAAAAGTTGTAATTTCAAAGCAATAATCTATCCATCTATAGATATCATTGTACAAATCTTATAAAATGTTCTCTATATCGCAGTGACATACCACGCTGACTGGAAGACGGGTTTCCACGCCGACGTCAGATACGAGGGTGAAGCTACCTACCCCAATAACGTACAAGGTTAGTGACTATGGATTGGATATCTATAGATATTAACTGACTATCCAATCCATTATGTAGACGGATTGGGTAACCAGTAATATTTCTCGGAACTTTTCTCTTGTTTAATATCGTTAATTAGATAAAATTTAACATAAACAAAAACGGAAATTTTACTATCTGTTTTTTCAAGATGTACGAAACGTTTTTTTTTTAATTTTTCGTCCATTGCAATCACGATGTATGGAATATTTTATTTTGTTTTTCAGGTGGATATAATTACAATGCACCGACAGATTTCTCTGGTTCTCTCACCGGTTTCCATGGCAACGATGTATCGAAACAAACAGTTTATGGGCAAATTAGTTATTATTAAAATGATCTGTACAGATTTAACTTTACGAAAAAATATATGAATAAACACAAGTCTTCAAGCAAAATATAATTTAGGATAAGTCGTAGGCAATATTTTTTATATTAAAATGAGATTCCACTGCAGATGTACAACAAAAAGCAGTTCTGTTTGTACACGACTTTTTACTTTTATAAGTTAATTTGATCAGTATTGTTATGTATATAATTTAGTGAATTAATATTTTTTTTTATAATACAGCGTGTTTTATTTTCCAATCATTATTCAAGGTAAATTATCGCTGGCTATCGTACGCCTTGAATTAAAAAGTTAATAAGTAGGCTATATGTTCTTCCAGACTGTGTTCTACATCTATGACAAATTTCATCCAGATCTATACAGCCCTTCTAGAAATAACTAATAACATACCTCTATCGATCCATACATCCAAACATTCGCATTCATATTAGTAAGATTTAACTTAACTTTGGTACAGTGAAAAGGTTTAAATTTGAATTTTTTAGAAATAAATATTCAGGATGTAAATAAAATGCATTATCAAATTAAATATTCATTTATACATCACAAAATTATTTACATTATGTACAATTAATTCTTAAATTATTCAAACTTTCGTGAGACATTATACTAAACTGATATAAACACGACTAAACACTCAAGTATATGCGTTCGGTGGCGGCACCGACTAGTTTCGAGCCCAGCTGAGCCAGCTGAGTGAGTGGCCCCCGATGGGCTCGAAACTAGTCGGTGCCGCCACCAGACGAATATACAAGAGTGTTTAGCCGTGTTCATATATCAGTTTAATTAATTCTTATTTTTGGCAAAAGATATTTTACATTGGTTTAGTATTTGACTTCAAAACAGATATTTTCGTATTAATATTACTAAAGAATTTATATCTAGAACTAATCATGGCAGCTTTGGCTAAATTATTTTTTTTGTCTCATTTGCAATTATTTATCTTATATCTTGTTCTAGACATAAAATATTATAAATAGTACTTATTTAAGTATTAAAATTATATCTTTATGTGTAATGACCATCAGATGGGATTTCAAAATTCCTCTCATACATTCAATAAAATCTATATACAGGTTGTTTCAAAATTCTTACAAACTCATACACACAAAAAAAGTTTATAAATTCTGTCAGAATCATATTAAAAAAAACATAGCATGATATGAAATTCTCATATTATCTCCCTCATAATCGTTAATTATTCGCTAAAACAGTCACTTAGTGCAAATATCTCATTACATCTACAATTCGGGAGAAGCATTTAAAGAGATTACTACTAAATTTTTACAAGAATACACAGAGTGTTCCAAAATCAGCTCTATATTCAACTTACCATAGAATTTTATGCCTGTCTGGGGGAATGGGGTGAACAGAAACAAAACTAGAAAATCCTCTACATTGTAATATTCAATGATTTTGATCAGCAAATTAATTCTAGATTTTATCTGTATATATTATACAAAATGTAGTAAGTAAATAGTTTTTCTAACGAAAAATCATTTAATGAGAATAAAATTAATAACTAAGAAAAAAGAGGAAATTTAATAAATTATTTTACTAATACATTTAAGTAATAATAAAAATACTTTGTCAATAATCTCAAGAAGCTCTCGCTTAACAGATTAAGGGCCCGATACAAAAGGCAGTTATCCTAGAAACCGCACGCATCGCGAGAAGGTTCCTGTCTCTGCAGCCCTGACCACTGGTTGTTTGAGTCATGTGACTCCGCAGCCAACTGGTGCTCTATTTTAATATAATATATTTTGTATAATTTTTTATTTTATATATATCATCAGCTCACTATACCTCCCCACTGAGGGGCTTGAGCTTACCCTAAGTTACGGGTGACTAGACCATAGTCAACCACGCTGCCAAGTGCGGGTTGGTTGACTTCACACATATCTTTGAATTTCTTCTTACATATGTGCATCACGATGTTTTCCTTCACCGTAAGAACATACGATAAATGTACATATGTTATAATCGAAAAACACATTGGTACATGGCGGGATTCGAACCCAGGACCTGCAGATTGCAAGTCAAGTGCTTAAACCCTTGAGCCACCGACACTCTTTTTTATTTTATATATGTAATATATTAAGAATAAGATAAATAAATGAATAAAGTTATTAATACTTTTAATTCTGTAAGGTAATTAGTATTTGTATGAGTTATGTTTGTTCTCATACAGCGAGCCATCCACTTGTACCGTCAGGAAGTTGAAATTGTATGAGTCTCGTGACATTTGCATTGGTTCCATCTACTGTTGTTATTTGCTGGAAACATAATCAAACATTAATTATACTTATTTTACTTAGGTTTTTTTTATTTTAAATAATAATTACATATTTTGGAGTGATTGTATGTAAAATTTAAAATCGTACTTTCAGAACATGATGTATATATTTACGAACGGTACCAATTTTGACGGAATTTATTGTTTTTTTTTTATTTTGCGCTAATATGTGAAATAAAAAAAGTAGAAAAGACGTAATTAAAAACGTGTCAAAGACTTCTGTCAAATGTTATGACAGTGTTAGACATTGTTTGACTGAGGCTGAGATATTTGATGAATGGCTTAATCAAAGAAATTTGTCAAACATGCTTGACAAATGTTTTTTTGCAAATATTTATCTCGATTAGCTGTAGCCCGTAAATAACTAAATTAGTAGTCTATGTGTTCTTCCAGACTATGTTCTTTATGTATACCATAATTCTTCAAGATCCGTGCAGATGTTCTGGAGATATCTTCAAACAAACATTCATACTTTGATGTTTGTTTGAAGATATCTCCCGAACATCTGCACGGATCTTGAAGAATTATGGTATACATAAAGAACATAGTCTGGAAGAACACATAGACTACTAATTATGTTTTTTTTTAATTCCACGCGAACGGAATCGCGGGGTACATCTAGTTAGTAATATTTCTAATAATGTCAACTTACGTCAGTATCTTCAGTGAGTTGTTCTTCAGGTATTGTCTCCAATATGGAATTATCTTCTTTTTCTGTCGATATATTATCTGTTAATTATATTTTCATCTCATTAATATTATAAAAGTAATTCAATGTTTTAACGTTTATGTTCTGTTAAAATGTCGTGAGTGAGATCTGAATATCGGTGGCCACGATACAGGCATTGCCTAGTGTGGGCATCACTAGATTATCCATAAATGGTAACTTAAGTCTAATTTAATTTCTTAGTTATGTGCAATTTTTATTATGTTATTGTTTCTTGGTTTAATCTTTGTTACCTATGATAAAAACTTTTCTTTTCTTTTTTCATGTACAATTTTTTTTTTCAAAAAAAAAATAATGGCCAAACATTTTTTTATAAATTAAAAAGTAGAAAACTTAAAATTTTATGGATTTTTCGAAAGTAATTGTGAAGTATTAACGTTATTACTGAAAATAAAGTTTTAACAGAAATAATAAAATAAACATTTTTTGTTTTCGTTTATCTTTATAAAAACAATATTAACAACTTACGTAAAGTTATTAAAGGTTGAACCTCGTTATTTTGAACTATATCCAGTGATGAATTTTCTGGAAAAAACATGAACAGCAGATTAAAAAAAATGCAAAAAAAACTTAAGCTAAAATACTATATATAAAATATTGTTTTTTTGTAAAATTAATAAAGATAAGAAACAAACCTATAGATTTCCCACTTTCCTCTTGAATATCATCAAATATCTGGAATAAACATTAATTTTTTTTAATGCAAATTAAAAACAAAAAAAAAACAAATACGAATAAAATATTTTAAATTGTATTAAGAAATGCCAGGCATTATAAACACAACAAATAAAAAAAAATTAAATTGGAACTCTTTTTAGCGTGTTCTTAATTCAAAAATATAATTTACAATTATTTTTTAATTAAATCTTAAAAAAAATGTAAAAATCCATCACCGATTAACATTTAAATAAAAAAATCAACAATAATTTTTAACCAATAAAAAAATCTTACTCCAGAACTTCTGATATTAGATGTTTGTTCCTCCTTCCCCGGATCTATGATGATAGTGCCCGCTGACGTCACCACCTTCAACACGACGATGACGTCACAAAGTTATATAAGAAACGTGTAAAGCGAGAGTAGAAATGGAGAAAAACTTACATTTTGCGGCACTTTCAGTATCCTCGGCTGATTGACAACTATCGACTCAGCGAGATGTCCCTACAACAATATTATTTTATGTCATATTATTGTGCCATGTTTAGTATAACTGTACTTGTTATGGTGCGATATGTTCTAATCGTTTTGTGTACTGTACTATTTACTTGTACTATGTTCTATGTTATTTTATGTGTTCTTTTGGCTATTGTGTTCTATGTTGTGTTGTTTATTCTGTTGTTTACTGTGTTCTCTATTATCTTGTGGTTTGTGTACTATGTTTTATGTTATGTTATGTGTTCTGTCCTGTATTCCTGTATTGTGTTTTATGTTATGGTATGTGTTCTGTCCTATATTGTGTTCTATGTTATGTTGTGTGTTTTGACGTGTAATGTTTTATGTTATGTGTTCTGTCGTGTATTGTGTTTTATGTTATGTTGTGTTGAGTCGTATGACAGTACTCACGGTGTTCTTCATATGATGGTAGAGCTGCTGCTTGCGCATGTACCCGGCGGAGCACACGACACACTCGTACGGCTTCTTGTCGCTGTGCACGTAGCGGTGCGTGTTCAGATTGTCTCGTGTGTTGAACTGACGACCGCACACCTACACACGCACAACCTGCTATAACTCTCCCTCTTACACTTACCGACGACTTGAATAGTTAGAAAGGGACAACTAATTAAAAGATAGACTCCTGTTACTAAACAAAAGAATAAATTGGAACTGAACGCCGTATATGTTTTGTTCTGTCTTTATCTCTTAAAAAAACATGAATAGAGTGAAGGTTACAACACGCTAGTTTTCTGCGTCTCTTTCTCGCTAATGACACGGTATGTGTGTAAGAACGAGAGGAGTATATAACCTCGCAGCTGTAGGGTTTCTCCCCGCTGTGTATGCGCATGTGCTTCTTGAAGTGCTCCGGGTAGACGAAGGAGGCCTGGCACACCTCGCACTGGAGCGGCCGCTCTCCTGTGTGCGATGCCTTCACGTGGTAATCCAACAACCTGGTATTATACACCTTATGTTATACAGTTATAGAGTACATACGAGTATTCGAATTCTGATTATTTTAGGGGATAGTGGTAGCCCTTTTCATTATTTCTATTATGATTTTTTTTGATATGATAAGATGGCAAACGAGCGAGCGGCCACCTGAAATCGCTGAAATAGCGAAGTGACCGTTGCCCATAGACATACGCAATTGCATTTGCTTTGCCTACCTTTAAACGACGGAGGAGAGGATGCACAGAAAGAAAATATTTTCCCTTTCCATGCATCCTCTCATCCGGAAAGTCCACTTCCACTTCCCCTTTGCTTATAAGAAAAAGGGTGGGAAGGGAAAGAGGACTAAATTAGACCTCCGGGACGTACACTCATCAGAAGGTAGTTGGAATAGCTTCCACTTGAGGCCTGTCTTCTGTGTGGTCGTGGTATTTCACCGGGCAAGCCGGGACTATTCGTGCGAACAAAGAGGGCTCTACCACTGTTTAATGTATGATGGGCTTCTTTGGTTCTCCCTAATCTGGGGGGTGTGGGCTATTTGTATTTAGATGATTGTTGTGATGTACCGGCGACGCTTGAACCTCTTGGGGCAGAGGTGACAGACATGTCGCTTGTCATCAAGATGTGTGGCGCGCCGGTGTGAGTGCAGGTTGGAGCGCTGCGTGAACCTCGCCCCGCACTCCTCGCATGAGAACGGACGCTCGCCTACATACATACATTCATCATCATCATCAGCTCACTATACGTCCCCACTGAGGGGCTCGGAGGCTACCCTAACTTAAGGGTGATTAGGCCATAGTCAACCACGCTGACCAAGTGCAGGTTGACTTCACACATATCTTTGATTTTCTTCTCAGATATGTGTAGCATCACGATGTTTTCCTTCACCGTAACATCGGATAAATGTATATATGTAAATCGGACATAGAAAAACACATTGGTACATGACGGGATTCGAACCCAGGATCTGCAGATTGCAAGTCAAGTGCTTGACCGATGAGCCATCGAAATCTTACATACATTATAAAAGAGCACAGATGTTATGAATGAAGCTGTATGTGACACAATTACCTGTATGTATCCTCATGTGGTCTCTGACCTCAGCCCTGCGCGCGAATCCCTTGGAGCAGACTCCGCAGACGAAGGGCTTGTTGCCTGAATGCACCACACCGTGCACCTCCAGGTTGTGCAACGCACCGAATGCCTTACCTGTGTGTGTGTGTATATACATACATACATAGTCAATAGGAAGATAAAAAAAAACTATTTAATAGAGCTAAGTATAAATATAGAGTTAAATATCTCACCGCAAACTTTACAGATGAATTCCTTAACTCCTGAATGAGTTTTCTCGTGTTGGTTTAAATTCTGCTGCGTGAGGAACGACTTGCCGCATTGACTACATTTGAAAGGACGCGGCCTGTCCTAAAAGTTATATTACTATTATAAAAATAAATTCCAGCTTTATACCTTCACGCGTTTTTGGGAAAAGGGTCTTGATAGACGGACAACAAAGTGATCCTATAAGGGTTCAGTTTTTATCTTATGAGGTACGGAACCCTAAAAACATTATTATAATAATACAAGGTCTTATTTACTAAATTAATCTAATTTCACGAACATTTACTAAATCGATCTAATTTTACGAACATTTACTAAATCGATCTA